GTTTCGAGATTATGAACCAGGCATTTCTTTTTTTAAGGAAAGAACAAAAGAAAAAAAAAATCATTACGAATTTTTTTTTAAAAGATCGAGATCACTATGGTGGGAAAAAAGATAAAACATTGAACAAAAGACCTTTTCATGATGAGGGATTTTTAACCTCTCCTCGCTGTTGCGTACTGTGGAGCGAATACAAAAGAAAGTTCATTCTAAAAGAAAGAACAAGAAATGTGACGAGACTTCATACGTATGATTTAGCAGAGAATAAAAGATTGCCTGACCCTGGATATTTTTAGTTCATAATAACTTTTTTTAAAACGGGAATTCTATAGCTCTTTAAAAAAATGGAATGAAAACAAAATGCTTTTTAGAAAGACGCCAGAATCTATATTGACATTATGAAACAGGCTTTTTTTTAAAGGAAAGAACAAAAGATGGGGAAGATAAAAAAAATCAATACGACATTTTTTTTTAAAGATCGAGCTAACTAGGGTGGGAAAAGATAAATCATTGAACAAAAGATCTTTTGATTAAGAGGGTTTTTAACCTCACCTCGCTGTTGAGTACTGTGGAGCGAATACAAAAATAAGTTCATTCTAAAAGAAAGAACAAGAAATGTGACGAGACTTCATGCGTATGATTTAGCAGAGAATACAAGATTGCCTAGCCGAAGGGATTTTTAGTTCATAATAACCTTATTTTAAATCGGGAATTCTATAGAATTCTAAAATGAAAAGAAACAGCTTTTTAGAAAGACACCAGGAAATGTTTTGAGATTATGAAATAGGCAATTATTTTTTAAGGAAAGAACAAAAGAAAAAAAAAATCATTACGACATTTTTTTTTTAAAGATCGAGATCACTATGGTGGGAAAAAAAGATAAAAGATTGAACAAAAGATCTTTTCATGATGAGGATTTTTTAACCTCACCTCGCTGTTGAGTACTGTGGAGCGAATACAAAATAAAGTTCATTCTAAAAGAAAGAACAAGAAATGTGACGAGACTTCATGCGTATGATTTAGCAGAGAATTAAAGATTGACTGACCAAGGATATTTTTAGTTCATAATAACCCTTTTTTAAATGGGAATTCTCTTTTAAACAGTGGAAGCAAACGAAAGAGCTTTTTAAACAGACACCAGGAACTGTTTCGAGATTATGAACCAGGCATTTATTTTTTTAAGGAAAGAACAAAAGAAAAAAAAAAATCATTACGAATTTTTTTTTAAAAGATCGAGATCACTATGGTGGGAAAAAAGATAAAACATTGAACAAAAGACCTTTTCATGATGAGGGATTTTTAACCTCTCCTCGCTGTTGCGTACTGTGGAGCGAATACAAAAGAAAGTTCATTCTAAAAGAAAGAACAAGAAGTGTGACGAGACTTCATGCGTATGATTTAGCAGAGAATAAAAGATTGCCTGACCCTGGATATTTTTAGTTCATAATAACTTTTTTTAAACGGGAATTCTATAGCTCTTTAAAAACATGGAATGTAAACAAAATGCTTTTTAGAAAGACGCCAGAATCTATATTGACATTATGAAACAGGCTTTTTTTTAAAGGAAAGAACAAAAGATGGGGAAGATAAAAAAAAATCAATACGACATTTTTTTTTTAAAGATCGAGCTAACTAGGGTGGGAAAAGATAAATCATTGAACAAAAGATCTTTTGATTAAGAGGGTTTTTTAACCTCACCTCGCTGTTGAGTACTGTGGAGCGAATACAAAAGAAAGTTCGCTCTAAAAGAAAGAACAAGAAATGTGACGAGACTTCATGCGTATGATTTAACAGAGAATAAAAGATTGCCTGTCAATGATATTTTTAGTTCATAGTAATCCTTTTTTTAAACGGGAATTCTATAGAGTGGTGATATGTGACGTCATCAATTTTTTTTTTTTTAGAATTGCTCATATTTTTTTTCTTCATTTTCCAAAAGAGCATCAGAAATAATGTCCGAATCTCAAAAACCAATTGAATATAGGCCTATTAAGTATTGGCTGAGATATGACCATCTGAATAAAAAGATGTCCAATGGGAACTCAGTGTTATAGTGCTCTGGTTCATAATATTAGGAACCAGAGCACTATTCCTATAACACTGAGTTCCCATAGGTGATGAGATAGCTCACGATGAAGTATAGAAACATATACTTTTTGCGATTCTACACGAATATACTTTTCTTAATTAAAAACATTGTGTTATGGAACTGATTGTGTTTGTATTTTTTTGTTTGTTCTTCTTCTGCATTATTTGTATCATGTAAACTATATAAGTTTACTCATGGACCCTGGATTTTTAACACAAAAGGTAGAGAGAGGGAGAGAGAGAGAGAGAATCTTCGCTGGAAACCACATTCATCTATGTCCAATCCATGATATACGGACTGGAACACTCTTTACATCATGTCACAGTATCGTAGGTGAATTATATTTCATACGGCTGGCTTGTAACAAGGGTAAAAGAAAAAAGAAATACAAATTTGAAAGGAACATTCTGCAAGGAAACGTACCTTGGTTGAAATCAATAGTAATAATGTTCACGCTAGTAGTGACATGGGGTGCGTGGGTGCTTTGAAGCTCAAAAACATGTTTGTTTAATAGATTCTTTAGAGTAAAATTAAAATTGAAAATTATTTGAAGTGTAAGCATGTCCAAATTTGGGTATTACTTCGTTTTGCTTTGATACAAAGATTCCTCGCTACAATAATATACGATATACAAAATGACGTCATTGCTAGCTGATTGGCTAGTTTGGTAGTGACGTCGAGCGAGCTACGTTAACAAAATGCAAGGCAAGAAATTAAAAATAAGAAATAAAAATCGATATACGCGTGAAAGAGCTGTGGATATATTAGAGGGTAGCAAGCAATTGAGGATTCATAACGCTATTAGTTACCATCAGGAACAAGTCAAGTCTCTTGAAAGTATCAGCTTGAAAATGAAGATCTTCATTCTTCTACTGGGCATCATAGCCTTGGCTTGTGAGTATACTAAAGAGGCGTACATAATTTATCAAAGATTACCACAGTGTTAATTGTTCCTTGATTGATAATAATTCAAACCGGTTAAATGAACCTAGTATTGTTGTGTTCAATACAATGGAATGAATATGATATATCGGCAGACAATTATACAAAACATTATTTATTTTGTATTCGTACATTATATCTATTTTTGTATCTACACAATATTATACTGTTATTGTTTAGGCCCCTTGTATCCACAATGTTTTTAGTTTGATCTACATCATATAATAATGTATCCTTGTATCATAATTTAAAATCTACATTAAGTATTTATTTCCATACATCATTCACTTTTTTAAATATCCTTGTCATAATTTATATGAAATACGTACTGTGCTTTTATTTCACTTTTTTCTGTTACCCAGTTGCCTCTATATCTAAATATAATATGTTTGTATTCGTACATGATCTATTTTTGTATCTAAACTATATATTTTGTATCCGGGCGTTGTGATTTCTGTTAAATCTATTATCTTATACCCGTACATTATATACATAATGTTTGTGTACATTAAATGTATTATATATTGTTAATAGTTCGATTAATTGTCTTTTTACCAATACTGAATTAGATCAATATGAAATGAGTAGTACAATATTGTACTCTATAAATCTATCGATGCTTGTTAATATTTTGAAAATTCGTGCATTGCAAAGCCAAAGAACCCACATAAATCAGGCGAAAAAAGGATAATGGACCACATAAAAAAGTGGAAATGCAGATATAATGGTAAAATATGATATTATCGGCTGACGTGATATATTTTGTATTCTTACATTATCTATTTTTGTATCTACACAGTACTTTTTGAATTCGTGTATTGGCCCCTTTTTTGGAAAATTCTTGCATTGCAAAGCCAACGATCCCATTTACATTTATATGCGTATATCATATTTCTTTGAAAATTTACATCATGTATTTTATTTCCGTTTCCATACGTTTTTTTTATGAAAAAAAAGATCCGCGGTGCACATTTTTATGATTTTTAGTTCTGTCACCCAGTTGCCTCTATCTAAATTTATATAAATTGTATTTGTGAATGATCTGGTTTTGTTTCTACATTATCCTCACAATAACTACATCTCTAATCTGTGTCTAACCAAAGCAAACAGTGTCGAATGCTGCTTTAAGAGCGGAGGAACGTCTGGAGGCGGAGGTGGAGGCGGAGGTGGAGGCGGAGGCGGAGGCGGGGGCGTTGTACACGGTCCATTCTGTAAGAATGCCCTCAAGTGCTATCATAGGCGTATAAGAAAGGGGTGGGGCGGAGGTCAAACCTCAGATAATATATAAGATAGACAGAGGATGCATGTAAAGTAACCCCTAAGATCCTCCCTGTCCTTTAAAGATTAATTGTAATGTATTGTTAAAGACGAAAAGATAAATTAATCATAATCATATTAAATCAAATTAGCATGGTGCATTATGTCATTCATCAAGTGCTATTATATTACAAACAATCAATGTGTATTATTTAAATATCAATATGCAGTTGTCTTATACGTTAAATATGTGAATAATAATTTTAGTATCTCGGGTATACATTGTCTTTCTACTTTGTTTAAGAACTTCCGAAATTATATGACACTGTCTATAAAACATCTAAATATCATGATTACAAGTGACCTCAATAGAAAACTAATTACGAATACACAAGAGTAATTTCTTGAAACAATTCAGAATTATATATACCAAAGCGTTTATAAACATGTCTATAGTTATTTTTCTCCTGCATTTTTGTCACCGAACAGCGCCCAATCGATGACTAACAATGTATTGGTAAAAATATTCAAACCGGATAATTATCGGGGGGTGGGGGGGGGGGGGGGTGATGAAATGTAATGAAATAGATAAATCATCAATTAAAAAAAAGTAAGGAAACTAATGGCTTAGTACAAAAAAAAATTGTTTTCAATTCAACTTTTATGTTATTAGTCATCGTCAACCAGTGTCATTTTCTTCATCTTATAGCTGCCCAGGAGATGGCCTGCCAAATACTAGGCAACAACCATATATACCTCCTGGATAACAACGGATATCTCAACTCTAAAGGGGCGGATGATGGAGCTGATGCTGCATCTAACATCAGAGATACCTGTGCGGGTCGTGAAGCTAGACGTTCATCGTAAGTTCATATCCCATCCATTTCTATTTCTCTTTTCACACGGGTGTCGTTTCAATGTCCGCCTATATAGGCAATTGACGCATGTGCCAGTACACCAGTACACTGGCGGGTCAAAGGTCACCCAGTCTCTAGTGCCCGTAGCGCATGAGACATCAATTTACTGACGTGCATTGCGTCAACGACGGACTGCGGTCTAGGACGTGCCATTTCACAGTGTTACTTGAATGCAAACTAGATGGTGTAAAATTGTTTTGAGTCACTGGCGTATGGTATATATCTCTTCCCAGGCTTGATGGGGCATTAACGCATCGAAATGACGTAATGTGCGCAAGGGGTATAACGCAGTCATACGTCATAAAATGACACTTCATGTGCCATGTGCAATTCCAGAAGAAAATTTCTTAAAATTTCCTATTGCTAATATATTCTTTAAGTTATTCGTAACACAAACAAAAACTATTTCGATAATTTACTCATAAAGTGCACATGGTAATTATTTTTTCATTGAAACAATAACTACCGAAATCTTTTTCATTTTCTTCTAATGATAAATCAAGTAATCAATACAATAGACTGGTGCCCAAAAAACACACGGGAAAGCTTATTCTTAAAAGCCACGTATACACAAGCAACTTATGGTGAGAACGCGTATACATACATTTTTCTTTAGGTATTCTATACTGAGAAATGTGAATAGATTTTCCTAACAAATCAAATTTAGATTAAATTAGTGAGAGAGAGAGAGAGAGAGAGAGAGAGAGAACGAGGTGTGGAAAAAAACATTTTGTAATGTTGTAAGAGAAGAGAAAGAAGAAGTCGTAAAAACACAACAGATCTTTATAGAGAACATTAATGATGAGATATTAATATGTTTGCAGGTATTGCTGTAAAGAAGGATGTGCCCCTGGTGAATCTGTCTCTCTGAAAGCAAGTGTACTCTCGTACATCCTGGATGTTGCCAACAGTGGACAATACAACAGTTATCTCCAGGTATCTTCCCATCAGTGATTCAAATTTCGGGCTACAAACGTGTTCTTTTCGTCATTTTTTGGACACATTCTACAAAGCCATGATAATATGTCCACTAATCATGAATGTCATTTAAAAGCTTGGAGAACAAAGTGAAACCGTCACTCTAAAATGTATTGGTAGAAATTAACCCCATGTACGGTAAAAAGGTAGACCAAATTCTGGTCGTTTAAAATATTACCTTTTCTAGAGTGCGTGCGCGCACATTCATTCCCCAGGAATTCACCTATACCTGAAGAAAGGGGTCCGTATTCGTGTGTAATTCTGTTGTACATTATATTACACATTATATCTAGTGTGTCTAAGCGCACGTACGTCACTAATACGTATTATATACCTCACTTAAGAAATCCAGCCATCTGATTGGTCGAAATTGGAGTCCTGATTTTAGCCATTCCCGTAAAGTATAGACAAATGCCCAAACCGATTAATAGTCTAAGAGTGAAATCCCTCAAAATTCCGGTTACCGGGAAAATAATAAAATTTTGCTGCGATACCCATTGGATTACGTGTTAAAATGTTCCTTGAGCGAGCGCGGACACCATACAGTGCTTTTTGTCTGCGATTCCCAACTGATCGAAATTTTCAGTCATTTTTCATGGGGGTGATAAACAGACAGTTTCTCAGATTTTCCGTGATGTTTTAACAAATTTTTATTCGATAAAAGGCTAAGGTAAGAATTCTTAGTAGATTTTTGTTTGAATTCGGCATATAAAAGGGATATCGACTGCTTTTACTCGAGGACTGGCTGTTTCTATACTGTATAAAAACAGCCAGTCCTCTCGTAGCAGTCGATATCTCTATACGAATAGAGAGCAGCCCTGGGGCAGTGGACTAGTAAAAAGGTAACATACATTTGCTATGGCTAAAATGTTTCTGTATAAGTCTCTATGGGTACGCTGAACTCCTACAATACAAAACCTGCAATAAGCCTTTCTTGTTGGTCATTTTGTTGGGGTGGATTCCATTACGTTTGAGCGCGTCTTTCCACTTCAAACGAAGTGGTAATTTCTCCCCCAAAGTGGATTTCCCTTTCGATATAGTAAGAGAGTAGAATAATTGTATATTTTCATTTGGTAAAATGATTGTTCATCTTCTTGTTTCCCTTTCCAAGATCAACGCAATCGCTGGAGCCTGTCACACATCTAACTCTTGGCATTACCAAGGTACCGCTGTGGACTTCCAGATTAAAAGCGGTGACCCTAGCTACTACGCCACCTCTTGGATGAGTATTTGTTCATCCCATGGAGCTCAAGAGAATCTTGGCCCTGGGAATGATGGTCACTCAACTCATACCCACTGTGCATTTGCACCATAAGATTCAGAAATAGGCTAAAACCAAGTTCAAATGAACAAATTCTTTACACGTATGCTATCTCTATTTCAAAATTACGATTTATCTTAATTAATGGGTTCGAATCTCTGCCAGTTTCACAGGGACAAGATGCAATTATCATCTGTAGTTAATCTCTTTATATCCAGGTGTGAAATAGGTACCCGGACTTTTCTTTTAAAAGTACTGCATGTGCACTGATAACGGCTGCCGGAGCTAAAAGTAGGGGTAACAATATTAGTAATATTTAGTAAAAAAATCCTCTATGGAAGAGCACAAAGACGATCCATCATATAGTGATAATGTGCCATACAAAATCGATGCATTATTCCAATCATCTATTAAACGCTTGGACCTGCTACTGGAATGCACTAATCAACTACAATGCTCACTTGTACAATTATATGATAATCTTGACTTCTTCTCTCTATGTACATGTTATACTGAAATCTAACCTTATCACTTTAGCCGGACTATAGGCCCATCTTCAACCAATAGGAGCTTTCAAGTATAATCAATGTTAACCTTGATGAACCCTTCGTTAATGAATGATTAGTTGTCACGAAGTTTTCTTCCAGCTGTAATTTTAAGAATATAGTCAACACTAATAAAAGAATGGACATAAATCTTAGTTAATATGTATTCTTTTATAGCCTAGTCTCACACAAGTTGATTTGTATTAAATACATTTCGGAGAGAAAAAATATAGAAGCTCGCCTTTTTAAAGAAAAAGAGTGTTTATAAATAATACATGTCTTACAGTAATGAAGAAGTAATTTAATATCCGATTACCTAATGATTGGCAATTTTACAAGAATTCGATGTGAAGAGAATGGGCTAGGAGAGGGAGAGGAGTGGAAAGGACAAAGGAAAGATATTGTGGAAGAAGAACGGAGAGAGGGCAAAATATTACATTACGAATATGAGTGGCCCAAATATAATATACATTGCGTTTCAACAAAAAGTATACCCAACTTTGCTAGCTCCTAATCAAAATTTCAAAACCAATATCACTTTGACATCTATGTCATGATGAAAAGAAAGCTATTCTCTGTCCGATGATATCCTATTCATAATATTTCTGTCACGAGTGACTGAACACTAGGGTCTTTAAAAGTGTTGTCGAAATCGCCTGGTATCAAGTTTGGGCTGATGGAGCGAATATGGCCCAGGCCATAAGCACACTTTTTAAACGCAATGTATATAAATAGAGAGAGAGACAGAGAGAGAGAGAGAAAGAGAGAGAGAGAGAGAGAGAGAGAGAGAGAGGGAAAGAGAAGGGGGAGGGAGAAAGTGAGAGCGAGAGGGGGGATATCAATGATGATAATGATAATAATAATAATAATAATAACAATAATATTTATAGTAACAATAACAATTCTAAAAGGTAAAAGCAAGGCAAAAATAATAATAAAGAGAAAGACCAGCTAGCCCTTGGCTTTAATTTATGTAAATTGGGTCCCCTTTCTAAATTTGTTTCTTTCCCATGGGCTTAATCGGTGAATTCGATTAAAGGCGGACTAATGCTAGGAGTCCACTGGGCCAGCGCCAGTTGGTGCCAATTCGCGCCAAAGATTATGTGACTGGCGCGTAGTGGCTTGCTGTGGCGCCGAATTAATGTCCGCTCGGCATGTGTCGCCAAGTGGAATAAACTGGGTGCCATACGGCGTGCGCCAAAAGCCACCCGGCTTGCTCCAAAATGTTGCGCCAGTTTGCGCCAGTTCCCGCCATTTGATTCCAAAATTCACCTTGTTGGCGCCATTCGCGCCAATAGACGGCTACTTTGCGCCACTTGGTGATTAGTTTGTGCCAAAGGTCGCCAAATTGGTTTGAACTTGCCGCCGCTTGGCGCTACTTGCCGACTATATAAATACCGGCCATCGGCTACCTGGTTCAGACCCTCCTCAGCTGCTGTATGAACAACATCTCTACTAAATATTTACAATTTTGATATGTCTGAGGCTTTTGATAATGTTGGAGTGATGATGCTGCTCATTGGCGCAACTTGGCGCGCGCCATTACATTCCAGTGGATTCCAATAGGCGGATTGTTTTTGCGCCAAAGGGCGATATGTTTGCGCCATTTGGTGCCACTTGGCGGACACTTGGCGTTGATTGCTCGATGCAAGTGGCGCGACGAAAATTTCAAACATTTTGACATTTTCTTGCCGCCATATTCAAATTTGGTGCCGTTACGGGCCATCACGATCCAGTTGGGAGGCAGTTTGAGCCACTACACGCCACTAGGCACCTTATTGGCGACACTAGGCGCCACAGTAAATTGCATTGGCGCTGGCCCAGTGAACTCCTAGCATAAGGTGCTATACGACAGGGTAGTCGATGAACCATGCAGACTTACTGTTGTGTTTGTGGGTATCGGAAAATTGAAAATGAAACAATGGAGCAATGGGTTTTCAAATTGTATGGAAATGTAAAAGAGTCAGAGAGAAAAGGAGAAAAAGTCCGAGAGAGAGAAAGAAAGAAAAGAGAGCGAGAGAGAGAGGGAGAGAGAGGGAGAGGATAAGACACAGAGAGAGAGAGATGGAGAGGAAGAGAGAGAGAGAGATGGAGAGGAAGAGAGAGAGAGAGAGAGTTTGTGTGTGTGTTTGTTTGTAGGTGTGTGGGTGTGTATGTGTTTGAGAGAGAGAGAGAGAGAGAGGGGGGGAGGATTTTGTTATCGTTTTTATTCGCCAACAAATTCGAGAAAATCATAGGATTTTGCAACAGCACTATAGATTAGCCAAACGAATTCATTATTTGTCCCGCAACATTAACCCCAATCCTGATTTTGATTGTAATGGAAAGAAAATAAAACGTTGACAAAATTCGAATTAGTGAGAAAAAAAATCCTTCTTCATACAGGTGAAACATGACCCATAAATATTAATACATCTGAAGGGCCTACGTTTTCCAGAAATCACAGGTTCCCTTGATCCTTCAGTCGTATGGCTGATAATATGATCAATGATTAAATTATAAAGAAAAATACGTCAGCACCTATGGGCTATGGCATGACTTCACCGAATATGCATTTTCAAAAGGCCATCTATACGTGTCTATCGTAATTAGCAAGTTACTTTGAAGGAGACATCGCAAAGAACAACTTAAGCAACGCCTAAAGTTCTTTTATTTCAAATAATGATATTAATTAAGACTAAACCAACAGTCCTTTTCAGGACCAACAAACCCTCAAGAAAGATTACCGAGAGTCCTTTTCAGGACTCCTCAATCCACCCTCTCTCTCTCACATGGTGCACCCGCAAGCCTACTGGATATTAATCTATTCTGCGTTTTGTGACAAAGTAATACCACCATGCATCTCGCGGATAGAATTCCTTTAAGACTTTCATCAAGATGTTTATCTATTGTTTCTCCGTTTTTTACAATACAAAGGCAAGGTTAGTGAGAAGGTTGAATTGCTCTATTCTTAACCTGTTTTCATGACCTAATTTTAATCCTTTCTCAAACAACCCTCCATCCATCGATCAATGACGGCTGTTATCAGGAACAACAAATCAAGCGATTTGTATGTCATCTTTATAGTTAAATATTAATTCACGTTTAAGATAATTAACAACATCTGGACCGCATCTGGATGATATGGCCCGAAGATTCGTTCCATATCGATCGTCGACACTTCAAATAAGCATTATAGAAGTTACGACGTTATTTGGAGAACAGAAAACATTGGAGAGTCAAAATGAGAATTCTCGTTTTAATCGCTGCCTTTCTTTACGTGGCTTGTAAGTTTGCCTGAATTATATGATATCAGTATCTTATATTTAAAAATTGATAAAATTAAACAATCATAATAATAACAAACATTTGATGTAAATTTCTACTTATAGATATCGCACTTTATAAAATAAAACCTGTTTAATATAAATAATAATTATACTATAACTCCTCTCCTCGACCGATATACGTTAAGATCAATTTCACTTAAGTGCTTGTATGAGGTCCATGGTTAAAGGATAATGTAAATTGGTTTAATGTACATAGCGTATAGGCATATATAAATATGTTTGAGTTGTATAATTAATTCGTGTTTACAGAATGGATTTAAGGCTAGAGCAAATACAAAATACTTCTTTATGATTCAATGTTTCCTCATGGCGATTTATTTATTGTCATAAATTATGGAATATTGAACAGGGCCAAGCTTAACTATAGCTCTTGCTGTTTTGTTGGCTCCATTTACCATATAGATAATTATTGTCATGCTGGAATACAATGTTACTCTAATTTTTCGTAATGAATAAAATGAATGAATTAATAAAAGAATGTGATTGTGGTTATTTTATCTAACTGCTAAGAAAGCATAAATGCTAGTAGGTAAACAACCAGACGGCCGACGGCTTTAGGTCCTCTCCCAGGGACCTTGTAATGAGGATTAATGCTTGCCAAAGGGCACTAGCGCATCGCACTTGGTTTGAACCCGGGTCACCGGATTACGAGACCACTGCTCTACCGACTGAGCTATAACGCCTCATGAATCATGTATGTATGTATGTATGTATGAATGAATGAATGAATGAATGTATGAATGAATGAATGAATGAATGAATGAATGAATGAATGAATGTATGAATGAATGAATGAATGAATGAATGAATGAATGTATGAATGAATGAAGGTATGAATGTGGCTCTCAGCAGGCGATACAGAATAAACGCAAAATTGGTGCTAGTTTTGATCTGAAATGAAGTGCATGAACATGTATAATCTTTCTATTATTGATAACTACGTTTCATTTTTATTCATGACCAAAGACAAATTCTATTTACGCATTTCAATTTTCCAGCTGCCTATACTGATCCTGAATGTTCGAACTACGACCATGAGACGTACGGGTGTGTAGGAGAATGTATCTCTACAGGCGATTGTCCTGGCTCTAAATACCAGAGTAATCTCTGCCCCACACAGCCAAATGATGTCAAATGCTGCTTTACAGGTAATAATTGATTCATTTCATCAGCTGATTTAAAACCCATGCATTAACGTTATTTGCAAAATCCAAAGTCCCATTCCTTGCATGACGTCACCTTGAGCCTATATACTCAATATGTCACATATCTTCCCAATCCTCTCATGTGCCTAAATGTATCTCCAACTAACCAATTTTGTCTTTAGCTGATAGACATCCGAAATAACAACTGCACTGCGGCGTTGACTTCTTCTAATTATAATTAATCTAAAGAGGAGTATAATGTCGTATTTTCACCTTAGTTTCCCTTGATTTTGTAACGCCTGCTAAAGACATACACACAGCGTTTCAACTTTATGATTAATTTTTTCGCTGTTTATATCTTGCGACAGTGGTAAGATTTTTTGACTAACAAAATTCTTCTGGTATCCACGACAAAATCACGACTGCCACAAGACGTAGATACCACCCACAATTTTTTATTGCTTCACGTCGGCAAGTCGATGCCACTGTACTCAAAGTTTGGTAGACTGTCTTGCGACGACCCCCGATGACCCGCGATTTGCTCAAATTTTCTGTCGTGTCGTGGCAAAAATCCGTCGTGGGTTCGACCAAGCCTAAAGCAGGTTTGACTGTATTTCTTTCTATGTTCTAATATTCCTTTGATACAGCCGATACTGACGCCGAATGTGCTACATACAACCATCCTACTCATGGTACCGTAGGAAGCTGCATTGCCAGTGATCAGTGTCCCTTCGGCAACTACATATCTGGTCTCTGTCCAACGATGGCTCAAGACATCAAGTGTTGCTTCGGCAAACCAACAGACACATGTCAATCAGGTATGTACAATCTCTTTAAACATCTATAAAAAAAAAGTTTCATTAAACATTTCTCTCGGGGCCTCTCGCCGAACAGTCGCGATCAGAGGCAACACAAATAATTGTTACATGCATAGTTTAGCGCTCAGGCGCGTACGCAGGATTTTTTCAAGGGGGGGGTTTTAACATTTATAAATCGGTCCGAAAATTTCGCAACGACTCAGCCAGCCGCTGAATAAGCGGGGGGGGGGGGGGGGGGGGGGGGGGGGGTAAGAGGACACATTTTTTTTTTTTTTGGTCCCAAAAAAATCGCAACGACTCAGCCGACCGCTGAATAAGCGGGGGGGGGGGGGGGGGGGGGGGGGGTAAGAGGACACTTTTTTTTTTTTTTTTGGTCTCGAAATTTGGAAATTTGACATTTTGCTCCGTTGGGGGGGGGGGGTAAGGTCACCTTTTTTAGGTCGGCCATGGGAATAATTTTTTTTTTTTTTTTTTTTTTTAAAATTAAAAAAAAAAAAAAAAAAAAAAAAATCCAAAAGGGGGGGGTTCAGGTTTTTGTTAGGGGGGTTTACACACAAAAAATTTCCAAAGGGGGGGTTTAACCCCCAAACCCCCCCCCCCCCCCTGCGTACGCGCCTGTTAGCGCTTAATACTAAAGTATCAGGGAAATATTGCATCTTTTTCCGGGTCATGAGGAGGATGTTGTTGAAAATCTTGTAGCAGTATTTGTATCATGTATATACTTAATATTCCCTGATCAAAAATGTCGTATGAACTCAGTATTGTGTGGGACTTGATACAAAATATTATACAAAATTGTTTTATCAAGTAGGCATATACTCGCTTTAAAAGTGTAAATTCATGAATAATGATAAAGTATTCAGTTGTCTGTATTTAGGACAAAAAAATATTCAATCACCATACGAAATGTTTTTGTTTTTGTTTTGCGCTATGGGCATATTGTCTGACAGCCTTTTTCATCTGTGAATTAAAAGAGATCGCACGTATCCATCCAAGGGCTGCTCATCAAGGCAACCAACTCAGCCGCATTACCCTGGCTTTAGCCCAGCTTCGCTATAATATATAAGGCGTTAAAAGCTTTCAAGGAATAAACTCCTATAGGTACCCAATTATTACAATGTCACCACCCAATCAAATCAAGGTTTCCATGGAAGTTCTCATAAATGGCAGAGTTATCATCAATGCTAAGTTGTATGCGACGGGGTAGCCCTGGGTAGAGAGCGGCAAAACAAAATTATATCGCAATCGTGTTCGGATTACGTAATTTATAACGGTCCACATTTTAAAAGGTGGCGCATGAGGCTATATTTGTAGTGAAATGGTTTTTCATTAATTTTTTAAGGTCTTTGTAACCGGTTATACCTGCATTCATTATCATTCTTATTGAACACAACAGACGGATCTGATCCTTCTGATTGTGACGACGCTTGTGGAACGACAGTCAAGTCCCTGGCCCAGCAAATCTTCGATAAACACCTCGCAGGATCAATAACTCTCAAGACTTCACATCCAAACGGTGTGAGTGACGGTGCAGACCCTTATAATAACATCCGGGATACTGTGCTTGGTTGCAAGGCAAAAAGGTCAAGGTAAGTAGGGCGTGGTGTCAGGGATCGAGTTTTCTCGGTCCCTCCCGTCAATCTCTGATTATGCCCCACCCTCTATTTTCAAGTTTTGAGATCAAGTTTGTCATATAAGCGAAGACAGGGGAAACCAGTGGCGGATCACTAGCCTACCCCCCCCCCCCCCCCCCCCCACTGAGCGCCCCTTTTCGGCGAGCGCGATTTTCAAATTTTTGGGAGCAAAAAAGACAATTTAAAAAATAGTGCTCACCACCCCCCCCCCTCCCCCCACTGAGCGACTTTTCGGCCGGCGCGATTTACGGGAGCAAAACAAAAACAACAAAAATTGGCCCCCCCCCCCCAAGAAATCCTGGATCCGCGCCTGGGGGAACCACCAGCTTTTTTACCCCTGTGAACTTTTTTGTTGTCCTTCTATGATATCGGACAGCAGCCGTTTGATTTAGACCCCTCCCCTCAATGGATAAATGTATTATCGTCAATTCTTACCGAAATGAAATATTATAATTATCACTCGGCTACTCCCAAAAATGTAAACTCTTTAAGCGACTGATCGCCGGACGAGACTAGGTCTATTCATGATTATGAAGCATTGTAAAGAAAAACGGATGAGCACATGATTTATACCTGGACGTCTTTTAAAAGATCTTGAGCATTCCGTAACAAATTCCTAAATGACATAAGGATAGTCAGGAAAGAGTTGAGGGGGGAGGGGGTCATCTGGAATGAAAAACATGATGAGGGTTACTACTTCACCTCTAATAGAGAGCATATCCATAATTCCCTTTCAGTTAAAACCAACGTCTTTATTTAATGAGACTTTTCCCCCATTCTCTCCCATCATCCTTTCCTCGATACAGTTATGAGTGCGCTCAGGGCAGTGCTCCTGGTGGCTACGTGTGTCTCTCGGAGAGCCTCCTAAGATACATCCTGCAGCTGTCTAATGATGGTTACTGGCTTGCGGTAAGACCATTGTCTATCTCACACAATCCATAATAACCGCCCCATAAGCTTTGTATCGGGTAGATAATAACGCAATCGAAATGATGTCTCATGTTCATCCGTTATTTCATTGCCATATCCTAGCGTCATTATTCTTTTTTTCGCGAGAGAAAATGCCTATGAGTATGATAATGGAGAATGCATACAATTGTTAATTGTTTTTACTTATACCATCAAAGTAGGAAGATGGGCCTAGTTCTTATGTGTTTTATCCGGTTGGTAGTTCACTACAATAGTTTAGCCTCATTGCAAGAATAACAAACGCACACAAAAAAGTATAAAAAAAAGGTTTTAATTTTGTTTTGTTTTGTAGAAGAGTTCATGGTGATGACCGTCTGTGATTGTTTGAATATCAAATATTGCTCGTCTGAAGCTCACCCTTTATATCGGTTGTGCTCCTGAGACAATTGCTCCGTCGGCAAAGATGGCCCAATATATTTACTCTGGACTGCAGTGTCACCAAAACTCTAACACTAATCCAATTTCATCCCTTACCTTTGACGAAATAGCCAGAGCAAAATATTGGGTCACCGGTATGTCATCAACCTGTTTATGCAAGTGGTCCCTGATCATCATGAATTAAAACCCAACGATTACAAATATCATGTTTAATAATTTATTTGCAGGTCAACTCTTTGGCTGGTGCTTGTCACGGCAAGAACTCCTTGCATTATAGCGGGTTAGCGGTTGATCTGGCTAAAACTTCAAGTTACAGCTACTTTATGGATAAGTGCAATGAAATGGGGGCAACAGAGAGCGTTGGCCCGGGCTACCCCTCCGCAGATTATCACACTCATTGCGCTTTCTCTTCGTAGGAAATATGGGCTCTCGAAATATTTGTGGGAAAATCTTGACATGAATTCTAAATTTTGAAACATACTACCCTCCCGATCTACGTGTAGATTATGTTCATTCTGATTTTGAAGCAATTTTAATGGATGGAGTTCGATTTTCGGACAAAGTTTGCTAACAAATTTGCCGACAAAAAAAATAAACAGTCCCCCCCCCCCCCCAACAAATATCTTTAGTTTTTGAGATGATGTAGCCTACTCCATGACATAGCTTGATGTATATCTCAAACATTTTGTTTTCTTCAGACGGTTACTTTTTGAGGGGGTCGGGAATATTATGATTTTGTAAAAATTGTATGTATGATGTCAAATTGTAACAACCAAACATACTGGTCAAGATTAAATGAAATCGTCCCGGAAATCGTGTACTGAAATACATAATAATTGGAACTTGCTTTCAAGTGTCGTTGTGCTTATTGTTACTCTAATACATGCGCGTACGCAGGATTTTTTCAAGGGGGGGGGGGGGGGGGGGGGGGTTAACATTTATAAATCGGGCCGAAAATTTCGCAACGACTCAGCCAGCCGCTGAATAAGCGGGGGGGGGGGATGGGGGGTGGGGGGCGTAAGAGGTCACTTTTTTTCTTTTTTTTGGAGTCCCAAAAAAATCGCAACGACTCAGCCGACCGCTGAATAAGCGGGGAGGGGGGGGGGGGGGGGGGAGTAAGAGGACACTTTTTTTTTGGGGGGGGGGGGTCTCGAAATTTGAAAAATTGACATTTTGCTCTCTTGGGGGGGGGTAAGGTCACCTTTTTTAGGTCAGCCATGGAATTTTTTTTTTTTTTATTTTTTATAAAAAAAAAAAAAAATCAAAAGGGGGGGGGGGGGGTTTAGGAGGGTTATGGGGGGGGGGGCGGGGTGAACACACAGAAAATTACCAAAGGGGGGGGTTAACCCCCAACCCCCCCCCCCCCCCTGTGTACGCGCCTGCATGCGAACGATAATATCTAATATATATCACTCAACACAGGCAAATTAAACGATACTGTCAGTCTGCCACTGAAAATAAATTCGTGTAGAAAGAAGAAAAAGTGATTAAATGCCTGATAAATGCAAACGTTACAACGTAAAACTTAGTTTAACGATAAGGGCCCGTATTCTGAAGTCAGGTTTAACTTTAAATCTAGGTTTAACTAAACCTGACTTCAGAATACGGGCCAAGAGGTTTAAAAGGTTTAGGCTAAAAGTCAACATTTTGGGGGAATAGTGATACTTGTCTGAAAGCAAAATGAGAGAGTGGGGGAGAGGGAAAAGAGAAGGAGGTGATCGAGTGTGATAAATTAAGAGAGAGGTGGGGGAGAAAGAGAGCGGCAAAAGAGAGAGTGTGTGCGAGAGAGAGAGAGAGAGAGAGGGAGGAGAGAGAGAGAGAGAGAGAGGGAAAGAGAGGAGAGTTACGGGAGAGAGGAAGAGATAAACAGAGAGAAAGGTGATGATCGACTTTGAAAGGCATGCTAAAATTAAAATGAAAGACCACTATATACGCTGCACGAATATGCGGTGATGATAGGTCTATTGTCTAACATGTTTGGTAGGTCCAAGGTCTCAATTCACAATGGGCCGTTGTCCCTAGCCACCCCCCCCCCCCCCCCTCGTAGGCCTATCGCTGCCTTTGCCATTTCTTGGTTATCATCTTTTTTTCTTTCTCCCTATACCATTGGATGGAAATTTGATCAAGATAGCACATGTAAAATAGAAAAGATTAAAGTTCCTTTAGGTTATCTTGTTTTTCTGGAAGATGATGTTTTTTTAAAATAACGAGGCACAATATTTCCAACCCTTGCACAAAGAACAAAATTTTGTCTTTACTTGATACTAATAGGGAACAGAAAGGTATTATGTCATAAATAGATCTCGACATTGTCTCCCGGCATTGTCTATGGAAAAAGTAAGATTAATATGAATGTAATAACTCACATGGAAATAAAAGCCCAGCTTAGGGGTAATGATTTCAAATCATGAAAGGGACTCTGTAAGTGGTACGTGTGGAACACAGTTCGGTGCCTGTGGACTAAAAATATGGGTCGTGGCGTGGACCACAGAACTCTAAAATACATATTTTAGAGTTCTGTGGCGTGGAACCATCGTCGAACCTTTCTGTCGAAGAGGGCAGTATTAAAAAAGCATTGCGCACAAAGAAAAACTCCGAAGAAAGAAAATTGAGCTCAATTTAGACGGTATTTTCTGTCTTTGGATGTCGTTTTGGTGAATTCTAGCCATGTCTCTAGCATTCATGCCTCCCCGGCAGAGGGGAAAGTCGGTTCCCGATCAAGCAACAATCCAAAAGGTACGTAAATTTTGTAGTATGTGCAAAATTGTGTGATATGTAGTCCCATCTGATGCTTTTTGTGTTAGTGTATGTTCTCATAGGGAAAGTTCCGAATATAATTGTGTTGCGTGTGCGTGTTGCAGGAAATCCCATTTGCAGCTCCTTGGAAGCTGCGTATGTTATAACGTTGAGCACATGACAGCCAGCGAAAGCCAATCAGAAGGGCCCTTGCATGCCAGTGTAGGCGAGTTGGCTCAGTCGGTAAAGTCGAGGTGAGACCGGTTGAACGAAAAGCGCATGCGCGGGATGAGAGCTAAAGTTCTACGACGACTACGTGCGCAATGTGGACCAAGTTTTGTGTGGCTAATTTTTTTGGGCCGAGTTGATTACCAGAAGTACTGAAACTATCGCTGATCTGTGATGAGAGGTCACGCCGTTGGTTCTGCCGGAAACATAAAATACACAAGGTGAATGGGAAAATGCCTGATTAGCATTGCCAAATTGGTGCTGACTTACAAAAATACTGATTAGGTTTGTGTAGAGTAAAGGAGCCCGTAATCGGCCAGCTCCCGTTTTCAGCCGATTGGTTGGATGCAAGGTAGAATCACTCTAAAATACATCGCATAATAGCATAACACATATCCCACTCATACCATACCATGCCAGTGTCACTGAAGAACCACATTTGCAATGAAAAATATATCCTAAAATATCACATTTTAGCGATGTAATCGGCGGTCCCGCTACCCGAATCTGAAAAATCGAGTATCTTACGCGTGTATGTAAGAAATATGGGTACCATAAAATCAGCTTTATTTCAAGTATTTTCAGATTTAGAGCCCGATTTTGTGTTAGTCGCAAGCTCAAAAGTATCTCATCGCATGTATTAAATCAATGCAGCCGGACCCTGCCACGCACACACGATATGTCTGTCTAATTCAGATTCAAACTTCCGATCACCGCTGTGCCTGTCTTCGGCCAGGCGAGCACCAGGGAGCTCCGGCGTGGGATACCTGCTCCGCCCGCTTGTGCTGTACATCAGCGCGGAAACGCACGGCGCGCGCGAGCGCTTCCTATTGACTTTGTACATGCGGCCGTAAACTGAAACGCTCGGCCGATAACTGGCTCCAAAACAGTGAAAATTGAAATGAATATTGTCATGGCAATTTGTGATTTTTTTCTGGGATTCTTTTTTTGTTTAAATAATAATAATATTTGCTTCATGATTTGAACAAAAAATGATAATAAATAGGAAGTAAAGGGTCCTAAAAAAAGGATTTTGTCTTAAGTGGCCGAAAACGGGCTCCTTTACTCTACAGGTACTCAGCTGAGTTGAGCTGAGTTTCCTGTGTATGCCTTTATACACTAATACTTGTTCAAGAATCAAGTTGGCAAGGCGAAAACATTTTTGATTACAAAGCATGCATTTGCATTTGTGGCAGAACCAACATCGCGAAACTCTCGTCAGAGGTGAGCGTTTTAGAGAAACAATAATGTAGAAGTATCTACATTGAAAAGCCACCCCTCACTATTTAATTTTTTTTTTAATCTCTCAAAGAAATATGGAACGTTAATCTACATATTTTCGACCTAATTGCAATACCAAGTTGCATTTGGTTATACTCCGTGGTTTGAAATGATCAAATGCACAAGGGGACCATGCCATGTGATTCTGTCACCTGAATCTCAACCTAGGTACTTCTGCTTGTGCCTGTGTCCAAACTAAATATTAACTCATTCATGAATTTGATTTCAGATGTTGGACGAAAATAATCAGCTTATCCAAACAATCTGTGAATACCAGAATAAAGGAAGGGCATCCGAAGCTACTCAGTAAGTTCAATTATTTCTATCTCTTATGTAATCTTGAATATATATGTTTGTAATCCACAATTGTAATAATACCTGATGTCTTATTTGAATGACATAGAACTTAGACACACTGAATGAATATTATCCAGTTAAATATTTGATCAAGATTGGTATCATCTGTAGTAAAAGATACACTGTGCTCTGTGGTACAAACTTATGTGTATCGTAAGGAACAATAAATAAGATTTATTGTCTATTTCATTCCTGTTACTTTTCTGTAGTACTAGCATCAGATTACAATATCATTTGACACTGATGTTACGAAAACCAATAATGAAGGTACACCTCAATATGCTAATTCAGCTTTTATATTGAGGGTTTTAATTCATAATATATCCTTATTTATCAGATAATTCAATAAATCTGTTGCCCTTTTTTCAAGTCCTAGTAATTACAAGTTTGATGATTTATTCTGTTTGTTGAAAACTAATGAGTTTTAACATCGGTACTTTCTTTATGTTTAGGTATCAGCAGGTTCTTCATCGCAACCTTGTGTACCTTGCTACAATCGCTGACTCAAACCAAGGAATGCAGCAACTTCTTCCTGTAAGAATAATATAAAAGCAATTATTATTTCCCAAGGATCCTAAACTAAATTATCTTGTATATAAGTAAGAAATTGAAGTGCTTGAATTGTATACAAACTGCTATTTTAGTGACCATATGCACTAGGCCTACATTGTAAGGGAGTTTATAAGTGATGATGACAGCTAAAATTTTGATGAAGAAAAATGTTCAATTGGTTATACATTAGACTTTTTTCTTCAATATGTGTTGATTGGTAAATAAACTATTTGTTGAATTTCTCTGACATTGGTTAAGGAAATGTGCATGACATCTGGTATTACTAGGTATGTATGCATGTGTACAAGTCTTGTCTTTTATAAACTCATAATCAACCTTTCTATGGTATTTTCAGTGTGAATACTATCATGTAATTATGAGGTATCCTCTTCCTTTCCTTTGTTTTTCATTTTTTTTTTTTTTTTTTTTTTTTCTTCTTCTCTTCCTTTCTTTTTCTCTTCTCTTCCACCTAACCATTTTTTTCCTTCATTTGTACCTGGTGTAGGCTCCAAATCAAGGCAATGTACCACCAAACCAGCAGTACCCAAATTCCATGCCAGGAGGAAGGGAAGGTAGTAACACAAACATGCCCCCTGGTCCAGGAGGACTGATGGGAATGAATGGTGGACCTGCTACTGGACCAGGGGGTAATAATAGTAGTGGTGGTGGTAGCACAGGTAGCAGTGGTGGTACTGGTGGAGGAGGGCCCCCTAGTAGCGGTGGACCTACACCCCCAGCAGGACGTACCCCTGTGAGTAGCCAGTCACCTGCTCCCAGCAGTGCACCTCAGCAAGGTGCTACCCTGATGCAGACACCACCCCCTCAGCAGATGGCTAATGGACCCATGCAACCTCCACCGGTCACATCAGCTAGTATGAACTCACCACAAATGCAAGGTAATCCTTTAAGTGACTCGGTAACATTGCCTTAGATTCTGAAACAAAATCCTGGATTTAACTCATGCTGCAATCATAGTTATAAGCTTTAGGTCAGTCAGGAACCCCAAGCCTTTACAAGCCAATCGCCTGCCTGATTATCAAGATCTTTATCATTGGAAATGGAATTTTCATTTGTCGTTTTCTTAACGGTTTTTATAACACTACAGTCTATTGGAGAAAATGAGAATGGTAAAACCGGTCATTCAAAGATTTTTACCTTTTTGAGGCACTTCATGATCATTTTGAAGCGTAATTTTGTTAGGGCTTCAATATTGCACCATATCACAGACACTGATAACACGAAGGGCCATGCATCTTAGATTTAACATTGTTAAACAATGCCTTTAACTCAATACTGTCGAGCTTGTTTATGACACCAATTCACCATAGATACTGTCGTGCTTGAACTTTACAAATTTAGAAAAATGTCTATAATTCCAAAGCTTAACGCTGCAATGAATTTTATTACACATCTTCTTTGATGTTGCCAAATTGTAATAAAAGTATTGAATTTCTTTGTATAAAGAGGTATATAGGAATGTAAAAACTAAGAAATCACCTTTTCTTTGACCATGCAACCAGATCAACCCTACTTATTTTAGCATGTGTGTAATATAGCCCTGTTCTTTATCCTCTAGTTACTGTAGGTGTACAGTTTACTCATGTAATTGCTTAAAAACTGCAGGTTGTCATATACAGAGCCAAACATATTTAATTTCACCCCATCTGAGCCATTACCTTAGGATTAGATATAAAATAAAAAGTTATCTATTGGAGGTCAGATTTCTAGGTTACCGTTTTTAGGTCTAAAGTTACATTAGGCTTTATATTGCATTGACTGTATACTAGTATGCATACCCTGTTGAATTGCATCGAAGGAAATTTCCTTTCCATATGATGATTGTATCCCTAGTGCCTAGCTCTCGCAATGATCATGTAGCCACATCGCATCCAGTGAGCGGGAGTAGTAATCCCGCTTCCTCCAGTGAAAACTTCCTCTCTGCCAACAGCAGTGGAAGTACCAGCGGTGAGACTAGCAGTACTGCTGGTGGTGCTGGTAGTGGTGGTAGCAATGTATCTACCACATCCTACAACAGTTCATCATCCGGTGGCTACCACACAGTCAGCAACACAATGACCAGACACCAATCCCAAGGCAGGAGTTGATGTTGTTACTTGGTTTTCTGTATTGTTGCTGCTCAGTAGCCCATTGTGTTTTTCCTTCAATATGGATTCAAAGCTACTAGTAGTTCAAAGTTGTTCCCATTGTTGTGTATTGACTGATGCATACTTTCAATTAATCCCTTGGCGTCCTCCTCTGACCTAAATCTTTTCTTTTAGCTTTTTATTTTGTGTATTGTTTTATTATACTAGATTAATTTAATCCCTGACTACATTTTCTGTGAAGACCATTAATTTTACGTTGCATTCTCTCATTATCACAAGAAGATAATTCATGATTTATCGGTTTACATTGTAGATGTATTTGTAAATATGTAGGCACTACTTTAGAAGGAAAAAAATGGAATATAGAGTATTGGGTAATGTCTTTATGACTTGTATTTATAAGCTTTCTATTTCTTTATATTTGCTTTTGTTTTTATAAGTTATTATTTTTTGTACTATATCTAATTTAAAATTATGTTTAAGATTTTTTCTTATTGCCATTTTATGTGTATTTCTTTCTAAGCTTTAATTTTTAAAAATTATTATTCATTTTGTGTTTCTTAATGTAATTCTTAATGTGGTTTAATATGAAAGTGCAGCTAAGTCATTATTTGCCTTGGACGATCAGAGGCAGCTCTTTGCCCGCTCTTCTTTGTATCTTTTCTGTCTCTATTTTTATTTCATTCAACAACCCACTTGTCTATGTTGCTCTTTCTAAATGTTCCCCACAACTAGATTTTTACCATTTCTATGTAATGTAAGCAGTTGCATTGTGAAATTTAAATGATATCTGAATAATAGTCTATAACATAGAATGCCTATAGATGGTATAGTAACTTATATTTTAATGGGTGGAGGGGGCTTTTATATTTAATTTTGGGGGGAGTTCTTTAAATCATTATTTTGAAAATATGTAAATGTCATTCATTTTTATGATTATGTGATTGTTAATAGTTTGATTTTGGATTTGGCAGATAAATCCGGCTCCCATTGCATGATTGGAAGATGTTTTATTTAATTTAATTATGATTATTATTGTTACACTCAAATAAGCAGAACAAGTCATGCCTCCGCTGAACTACAGAAAATGTCTTCCTGAAACATTTAAAGATTTAGAATATTTGAATAAATTTATTAGTTAATTATGTGTCAGCATACACTAGATTAAATGTGATGGACACCTTACCCAACCCATAAATCACATGCTACAAACTTCTTTTTTTCCTAGCAGAATGATGTAGTCTGAAATTAGTGACATTTATATTTTCACAGGAGGGATGATGCCCCCAGGTCCAACACCACCTCCACATCCCCAGGCTGACAAACCCCCACAGCAGCAACAACAGGCACAACTACAGACACAACAGCAGCAGCAGCAGCAACAACAACAACAACAGCAACAGCAGCAACAAGTACCACAGTCCAACATGGGTCCACCTCAGACAATGGCACCACCATCCTCAAACCAGCAGCAGCAACAGCAGCCACAGTCCAATATGGTACCAGCACAACCACCACAACAACAGCCCATGGGACCACCAAATCAACAACAGCAGCAGCCACATCCTAACCAGCAACCCAACATGGGCTACTCACAACAAGGTGATAACCCACATATCATTTTAGCTCATCCGGCCCGGAGGGCCCGATGAGCTCATGCCATGCCGTGACACCTCAATCAGGAAAAATGAGCTAGGAATAACAAAGTTCTGTTTATTTAAAGTAATGCTTGCATTTCAATAATTTGATCAAACGGGTTCGTTTTTACTGGCTTCTTGCCGTTGCAACGAACAGAATTGACAAGAGACTTCACTCCGCTTCGTTGACGATCAGCCATGCACAAAGAAGACGAAAGACCTGATGCCTGGCTGATCTTCAACGAAATGGAGTTAAGTCTTTTGTCAACTTTGTTTGCTGCTACGGCAGGTAGCCAGTGAAAACGAACTCGTTTGATCAAATTATTGAAATGCAAGCATTACTTTAAACAAACAGAACTTTGTTATTCCTGGCTCATTTTTCCTGATTGACGTGTCATATGAAAGGGCAGAAATTGAACTTTCTGGAAATGTGACTTTCTCCTTGAAATTCAGATACCGCCCGCCAAATTACTTTTTGGTTTCCTCTCTTCAAATTGCTTTTAATCACTCATGCATAAAATATGAATCATACGAGTTGCATCAAATGAAAGAGGAGTATCTAAGCTTTCCAAATATGTGTCATTTATTAATTATGATTGTGATTAAGTTATGATAAAACATTGATAGTTCTCGGTTTCGTTTTTTCTCGGACGCACTGTATACAAAAGATCAAATACTTTTCATTTTTATTGTATTGGTTTTTATATCTGTATGTGTACAGCTGTACAAAAACAGTTAATTTACTTTTCTTACTTCAGTTCACTACCAATTTTAGTGATACTATACTGTATAAAACAAAACTTTATTTTGTATCTGATTTTGCTTTTTTATGAAAATGCCCTATACTATATAACAACAAAATATATGATAGGAGATTCAAAGCTCTCTAAAATGCTTTTTTTCTTGACTGATGTTTTTATTTTACTTTCATGTTCAAGTGTTAAAATAATAATAAGGCTCAAAGTTAGAGCCACTTGGCACCCATCATATACTTCACAGCAATTTATCATATCCCAACTTTACTATGTGGCATTTATGCCTAAAACCACCTATTTACTAATATTATACAAAACATGTAAAAATATTACCGAAAACACCTCCAAAATAATAAGCAAATGTCCTTACATTATTCTTGTATGAAGTGTGAAGTCTTATTAGGAAACAAGAACTCCTGTGAATAATATGATTTGTGATCCGCGTCCATGTCGCGGGTGCCGGGCAACATTTTGCATATATAAATACTCAGTGCAAAGTGGCTGAAGGATTACAGTGTTTTGTGTTCTCTTCCATTTTATGCATGCTTTTTTATTGTTTCGGTTATAAACAGTATTTAATTTGCCACAACATCTAACACACCTGAGTGCAAAATGGCTGAAAGATCACAATATTTAATTTTGTTTTAATTCATCAGTATTATGCATGCATTGTTTTCATTCTCTGTTATCTCCTAATTCTTCAATTTGTTTAAATATTTAACAATTTTCTCACACTAACTCGTTTTTGTCCCTTACAAAATTGTTATTTTGCCATATTTTTCTGTTGACAATTTACTGACTATTTATACCTCTGTCCTTTTCTTATCATAATAAAAGGTGAGTATGTTTACATTTATCTCTTACTAAGTTCGAGTCCTGCTTGGCATAAAACTATATATTTTTCAACCAATTTTCACTGTATCCAATTCCTTTAGTTTGTATTTAATCTTGTACAGCTAAATGAAATTATGTCCCTTCCAGGGCATCAAATTTTTATTTTTTGACCAGTTCAAAAGTGTACCACATAAAATTTACGATATTTGTTGTTGCGAGATGCGCATAAGCGCTACATCATTGACGTTCTGGTTAATTGTGGCATTTTTGTTACAGTGTTTCATACAATTTTGTTCCTCTTTTAAATTACATGTGCAATTACTTGAATTGAGTTGATGTACAGTGATTAGTTTATTGTCAAAGTGTTAAACAAAGGTCTTCTTTATTTCAAACCAAAACCTTGATATTGGAGAGAGGAATGAAATCACTGTCCAAGATCTTAGTAAATCCCAGTTGACCTTAAGAATATAGGTAGTTCCTGATAGATCTTTAAATGTACCTGTTAGAATATTCGGATTGTAACAGAGATCACTAGATATTTCTCAATTTGTTGTTAATATGTGAAAAATAATGTAAATAGCTCTATTATTCCTGTTGTGGCACATAGTTCATTTTGTTAATTCTCAACTGGTAAGGTATTCCATATATTCTTTGATAGTTATTTAGAAATATGCAGTAATCTACAAGGGAAAATATGTGACCCGTAAACAAATTAATTTGTTATTCATTCAGCTCTTTCTATGAAGTACAATCAGAAAATTTCATAAACTTTCATGAACATGTAAACTTTGTTAATTCAAATTAAATCTGTTGTTTCAAAAGGAAACATGGGAGTTCCACCACAACCTAGTATGGGACCTCCACAGTCAGTGGTACCGCCCAACCAGTCTCAACACCCCCAGCAACAAGGCAACATGGGTCCGCCACAACCTTCCAACATGGGACCCCCACCACCACAACAGGGCAACATGGGTCCACCTCCATCCATGGGACCACCAAGCCAGCAGCAACAGACACCACCCCATCAGCAACAAGCGCCACAACATTCTCCCATGCCACCACCACCCCAGCAACAACCTGGTGGACCTCAGGGACCGTCTCCACCACAGTACCCAGGGAACATGCCACCTCAACGCTACCCAACTCATCAGCAGCAGGGTATGATGGCTGGACCACAGGGCCCAGGAGGAGGAGGCCAAGGGGGGCAGATGATGATGGCAGGGGGGCAGCAACCAATGGGAGGCTACAGGCAACCATCACAAGGTAAGTCTGTTTCTCTCTCTATATCCCTTAAGGGATCCGGTAACTTTTTCCCAGATTCTGAAACAAAATCCTGGATTTAGCCCATGCTGCAATGATAATTATAAACCTTTAGGTCAGTCAGGAACTCCATGACTTTTACAAGCCGATCGCCTGTCTGATTATCAAGATATTTATGATTGGACATCTATACCAAATTTTGAGTTTGCCAAACAGTTTTCATAACACTACAGTTTACTGGGGAAAACGAGTATGGTAAAACTGGTCACTCAAAGATTTTTACTTTTTTGAGGCACTTTTTTTTAGGGCTTCAATATTACACTTTATTACAGACACTGGTAGCACGTAGGGCCGTGCATCTCAGATTTAACATTGTTTAACACTTATTGTACAGAATTTCAGATCTATAATGTTGTTTATAGAAGTCTTTGTATACTGCAAAAGGAGATTCTAGGCCTCTGATTGGTCAAAACTGCAGGCTTGAAACTAGCGACTGACTGCTGGGCAGGTATAGTTGTACTTGTGCATATAATGCAAGGGTGCAGTGGTTGCACATAAACTAAACAACAGAGATGTCCACTGAGCCACTTACAATGCTCTTAGACCAGTAAATTTCCTAGACCATACAAAAGGCATATTTTGTTAAGATAATATATCTCTTTTTGAAAATTGACATGGGGGATTCAGAGATGCCAACCAGTACGATTAAATTGTATTTAGTATGATAATAAGAGTGAAATATGATAATACGATATCACCTTTTCAAATATGATTTTTTTTAATTTATTTTTAAATTAAAAAAAAAAAACTTTTTACAACAAAAAAACAAAACCCCATACAAACAGCGGAATCGCATAGAAACATGTACAAGTAAACCAACAAAATTTTAGCTTTACAATTTTCTCATTGAATTTTAATGAAAGAGCAAACATTTTACTTCACCGCTCTTACCAGTAAAATATTTTTCTGAAATGTTACTGGCCCGGAGCCAACGGGCCATTGGTAGTGTTGAGTTTTCGTGAAAATCTGATTTTTTTTTAGGATACTCAGTCTGTTTTTTTTGTGTCAAGAGGTTGACATTTCTGGGGATGCAGTATATAAGAAATTTACAGCTTATTCTTTGGATCATGCTTAAAAATATAGCTCCGAGGGGATCTGAAGACTGCACTATCTATGCCCATCAACTTGGTCTTTGGGCTCAGTATAGTTTCAAAATTACCTTGGGCAATAGTTTTAACTGTGACCCTCAAATCAGTCAATATTTGTATGTTATTTTATAATAGCAGTATCATCAGGGAGCAGTTAGTACACACTAAATAGTTTATGAGTTTTTCTTTGGGTTACATGCATGCAGTTAATAAAAGTACACAGAGGTATATCTCTGGAACGGCATTGGAATTTTGTTGCATGCCACTTCTTTGGAGATTCTTTAAAATTTGCTAATTTTTCTTCTGATTAAGATTTTTTTTTTAAAGATATTGCAGAAAAATACAAAATTATTGCTTATATTTCCAGTTTTTCAAAGTATGCATGACTGTTCTTCCCTTGCAAATTCATATCAAAGAATCAAGGCTTAATCTGAAGAGAATAAATTTAAGCAATTTTCCTCATAATGTGCAACACTTGAAGATCATTTCCTTTTAATATAATTTGACTCAGAAAAATACAATATGTCCTTCTATTAGGAGCAGACAAATGGGAAGATATAGAGTTCATGATATTGATGTTATAATGTAACTTTGACTTGTATGGAAGCGTTTGTTTTATTTGTGTATTGACTTTTTTCTCTCTCTCTTCTGTACATCAGTCCGAGATACGATCTTGTTTTTAAAACTGCATGAATTGTTATTTATATCATTTGTATTGTTTGCCCTAATTGTCTTCCACATTTCTTCTTTGTGAACATTCTTTTCCAAATGCTTCATTTTTGTAATCTTTTATTTATGACAACGTGTTCAAGTCTTCATTTTGTTTTTCAGAAATATCTGTGTATAGTAGATTTGTGATGCATGTAAAAATCTATTTGTTTTCAATCAATGTTAGATACAGTATACTTGGTACTGTTTGATGAGTAGTGTTCTATTTTTCTCTTTATTCTGTTAAGTTTTGTAACCATCTGCATTTATTTTAACTATTTCATATAAACCATGAATTGTCTTTTGATGTTATAGACAAATTGGCAGTGGTTCCATATTTGGGCTTTTAATATGTGCATGGTTATTGACACTTTGTTGCCCCCCCCCCACCCTCCTAAACAAAAACAAAAAATATATATAGGGTAATCGTTATAACACTTGAAGCTTGGTCAAATGATTTGAAGCACTTAAGAATAATATGTACATTGTGAATGTCATGTCTTCACTTCTTTTTTTCAAATTTTGTATTTGCTTTGATATTACAAATAAATAAAATTACCAGGAATCTTTCTAAAATGCTGTATTTGACAGAAAGAGCATGAATCTTAGATCAAAATTGAAGAATACTGGTAATTTATGCTTAGAATGCAATAGTTAACGCGTATAGAAGGTTATAGGTACCAGTACTATGATACCTTATTTCTAGATTACCTATTCTCATTTATATGTTACTTCCTATAGAATTAGTAGTGTTTGTGTGTTTGGAAGCATGCAAAATCACAGCAAGCATCATCAATATTTTGAAGCACATAAAACATCAGAAGGCATACCTATTTCCGATTTCTCCTTTCCTCACCTTATGTACACATTCATAATACATGTATGTCTGTATGTCATTTCTAAGGAATGTCCCCTCCCATTTAAATCCCCTTTTTTGTTGATAGCTCTTATTGGATTTCGTTTTTGAAGTGATATAGATTTCAATAATATTGCAATAAAAAACAAACTTTCATAGCTCTAATGATATTACCAGAGCTAAAGCGCTCTCAGCTCCTATGTATATTTCGCTGCTCCCCTCCAAAATTTCAAATGCAGTTATCTTCCATCTGCTTGCATGGGTTTGCACAAGTTGATTTTCAACAACAACAGCAGCACTTTAAAAATGGTGCAAACACAATGCATGTCACTGTAAGCTGGTCTAGCTGCTTTCCTGCCTTTCTTTAATGTATGAAAGAAGAAGTTTATCATTCTGACAGTTTGCACAGTGCAGGTTTGCCATTAAGTTATTGTTCTACATTTTGGACACCTGATCAATTTCCATGAAATCTTTCTTTGTGTTTTTATATAAATATATGCAGTAAGCCTAAAATGCAACAACGGTGCTACAAAGGTTATTCAAATCATTTTGATATTGCTACTTTTGATTTCTAAAGAAAAGTAATGCAACAACAAAAATGGAATTTGATACCTCTATCTTTAAACAAAATTTGTCAAAGAAAATGTGGCAGACTTGTGCATTGTAAATGAAGGTAGCATCGTTCATTTGCAAATCGATCAACACCTATGGAGGAATATGTATTTTTCAATAAGAGACATAAACCAGTAATCAGTTTTATTTACCGTTTACTATCAAATCATTTTGAGATATCTTTAAAACAATTATTGTTTGGGCATATGTATCTTTGAAGAAAATTCTGGATCTACTTCAAATAAATCTTTAAAAAATAATCTTTTGAAACTATATCAATACTAGCCTTACTAGGAATTATTAAGTACCTGTATTTCTAAACAATATTGAGGGAAAGATTAAACGATTTTTAAGAATATAAAACCCATCATCTTAGCAGAGTGTAATATTTTTTTTCATCAGTAAAACCATAAAAAGAAACAGTGTTTTTCATCTGATGTTAGGGGACGAAAAATATATCTTTTCTAATTTGAACCAAACCAGAACAAATGACACATTCCAACATCTTTGCAAATGAATGTTGCTACCTCTAATGTTTTGATTGCAATAGTTAATTCACCATCAAGAAGACATTTTAATGTTTGTGATCTCCTGCAGGATCGTCAAAAACCAAAGATCGGAAAGGAGATACAAGGAGCACCAGCAGATCATTACAAAGTGACGAAAAATACCTCTTTTTAAATCGTTCTCAAATAAAGAAGGGCTTTCAATGAAATGCCTCGATTGACTACAAATTTGGACAATTCCATGCAAGCTCAATCCCTAGATATATATATGACCAAATCGAAGAAGCAGAAGCAGAACTTTCAAAAGAATCCTTTTATAAATTCTCATGATTTTTTTCGACCATACATCCTAATCCATCTCCGTTTTCCTTTTCCCGTGTTTATTCCATGATCACACCTATAACATGACCGATTTTAACCTTCTCTAGAATCGTTTGCATGGAATTCCCCATATGTAATGTTACCTATACATTAACTGACATTCATGTAGATACATTGTAGTTCTATGTGCCTTTTATGCTTGTTATGCCCATTCTAGCTTTAGTTTACATGTGGGGATTTAGGTAGCAAGTTTTATTTATTTACTTACCGGTACCATCCATGTTTTGTGTTGACTACCTGTACACACCGGTATTGAAGATCAAAGTTAGGTTTGTACGTGTACCTATGTTGCTCTGAGTAGCCATGTAATGAATGGATATTCACTATTGTGAGGTTAAAATGGGTGTCTGCTTTAAGGAAATCAAGCATTTAAATGTCATTTTCAATAGATTTTTATATTTTTAATTTCTTTTTTTATTGACAAGGCTAGATACCAGAAAATTTGGAACTAGGAATGTAATGCTTTTTTCTCTCAGATATTTCGACTTGGCTCATTCATCCTCTTTCATGCTGACACAACAAAGGAGTAGTGCAATACAATAATATGTTAACATTTCCCATCTTTTGTTCATCACTGGTTACTTTGATTGTTCAAACTATTGACAAAATATGAAGTATAATTGTGTAAAGTTTGTATGTTATGCCTTATCCCAGGTTTCTGTGAAGAGCTTTGTGTGCCTGATACGATAGGGAAAGCCGGAAAGGTATACTTTCTGCTTCCGTCAATGCTACTAGAGACCTGCAAGCTTTTAATATGTTGTTTGAATGTGTTTTATCCACAGGTCAGCCGATGTACAACCAGATGCCTAACTACAACCAGCAGCAGTATCCCTCCAATGGACCTCCAGGAGGGTACTCTCAGATGGCACATGGTCAGAGGCAACCCTACCCACAGCAGCAGAACAACATGCCCCCACCCACCAGTCAGTATGGTAACCCACAGCAAGGAGGGTATGGTAGCTACCCTGGACAGGGGGGCCAAGGTCCACCTACACCCCACCAGGCTAGGTATGGGTACAACCAAGGAGGACAACCTGGTCCTCCACCCCCTCAGTCCCAGGCTGGTGCTGGTGGAGCGGGGTACGGAGGATACAATCAAGGCCAGTATCCTGGAGGCTATCAGCAGTAGACGACTTGGTAGAAGTGCATACAGAGTCGGGGGAGGGGGGCTCTAACTCCCCCGTCATCCTTCTTTGGTGTCACACCTATCCAGAGTTTTAAGGTGGATGGAATCACAGACAGCAAAACAAGTTGTGAAAGTGTACTGATGCACATCATGGATGGACAAAGCCACTCATTGGCTCTCTTGGCTGATATTTTTGAAAATGGCATACCTTTAACAGGACACAGAGATAGATGTCGAAGAATCCTTCATTTCTGTTGATTATGTTGTAATGGTGTATTTTCAATGGATGGGGACAGTTCAAGAATGAACTTGGAATGATCCTTGATTTTGAGAATGTCCACTCTAAAGGTACATGTACATGCTGCGTATGATTTCCTTTTGAGAAGACTCATCCATGGATCCTCTGTGCTGCATCTAGAGGATTGGATTAGATTGGAATGGATGGACTAGCAGAGAAGCTAATGAAGGATACACAAGGAACGCATCTGGAAGCTACCATGAATTATTCATTTATGATTAGAGAGGTTTCTTTAGTGAAAGTAAACAAACTATGCGCTCCTGTACCCTGGATGTTTGTTTGATTTAGGAGGAGAAGCTCATAATGAACATTGTTTTCACATGAACACCTTGGCACAACGTTAGACAGTTCCATTGTTGACTCTGCGAGTATTGGTCGTTACACAGAGAAGAAATTAATGATCACCTGGAAATCCAGTTCTTTGCTAAAAAATGAAAGTTGTGATGTTAGAAATTAAATTCTAGGTGTACTTATAAGTGGTGGTGATAGTTTAATTGTTATTTAGAGCGCATTTCTGGCTTTAATTGTGACTTTATTTTAAAGTTGTCTGTGGTTTAAGTAGGTTAAAGAAAACAAAGGTGCTTATTGTCATTTGTGAAATTTTCTCAATGCATTAAATTAATTTGGACAAATTAAACAGGTAAAAATTAAAAATTAAAAAATAAATAAATGAAGTTTGCTTAATCAGAACCTAAAGATCATTACATCAAAAGGACAGGTAATTATATATTTTTAAAGATGATTTTAGTGAAACATTTTAGCTTTAGGACATCATATGAGATATTTTGTATTATGGATCTCTATTCATGTCATATTAGTTTGAAACTGAGGTTGAAACCTGAGGCCCGTCTTATAAAGAGTTGATATTAATTGCAACTATGTACATAATAGATAGGGGGCTTCAAACTTGCGATTGATTGGACGACTTGCGATTGATTGGATCAATAGCAACTCTTTACAAGACGGGGCCCTGATTTGGTGTCAATTACAATAAGTGTAGATAACAAAAATCTGTAAATAAATGTGTACATAATGATGTAAATGGTCATGAACTTGGCAATGCTTACAACGGTGCATGTATATAGTGACTTTGATGGTGAATGCTGTAATTATGACACCTTCAGAGTTCCTCACTTACAAGAAACCTTTGACAGAAACTCTTGTAAAAATATTCTTGTGTATGCTTGTCATGAAAAAGTAATGAAATGTATTGACTGTCTTTTTCTTTATCATTATCATCCAAAGAAAATTTGAATACATGCTTTTGTTTGATTTATACATTCCTCATTGATCATTACTTGTGTGCTTATACGATGTGTTTATTTGTACAGTAATCAGTATTCAATTCTCTGAGGCTCATCTGGTTAAAATACCTTGAGAAGTTGACTTTGTTTGATTTAAAGGAAAGCATTTTAATCCTTGGTAATTTTCACATTATTGTTATATTCTTAGGCTGTATTGAGTTACTTTGTCCCTTTATATTTTGTTGAATACAGAATAGATTATTCTGAAGTCCTCAGAACATGAAAAGGTATCTAAATGTGAAATAAGTTCTTTCATTTTTATTCACCCTTGCTCCTTGTAAAGTAATATATATCAGAGACATCAACTTGGATACACAAATCCTATGATAGCCAACCACTGGTATTATTTAAGGTGTAAAGTTCAAAAGGAGGATGTAATAAAGGAAATATGCCACATGCAAAACTTCAGAATTTTGCTCGTATCTATTGCACAATTGTAAACGGAGGAATGCACATATTACTTTAACTGTTATACTCCAGAGTCCAGACATATATTGCACTTTGATTGAGTGTGTAATTTGTTTGTATGACTATGCTACCTGGAATTTACTCACCTTTTATAATTCACCAGTAATTTTCAGGTGCCAAAATATTGTCTTTGTACATGCCAAAAGAGTCTTGTCTTAAATGTGAAACAAAGTTATATGAATATGTTAATTGATGATATGATTTTGTGAAGTCACATTTCTGATGTCATGTAAGTATAGAAATAAGACTAAATAATTGTATTGTACACTAATCCCTTGAATTTTGTTGTTGTTGAAATATTGGAAAATTCAAGCACATCCTAGTATGTTAAAGAGAAGTCCACCCTGATGTTGAGTTGGTTTTAATAGAAGCAGAAAAAATTAGAGAAACAGGTCAATTAGTGTGATATTATTTATTTCAAACTCTTTTCTATGGTTTTGGCACAGGATCTAGAGACTGTTTTCCTTGATGAGGATCATGTAATAAGAACTTTGATACATATAGAGTTAATAACATGGGAGTTTGAGGTGAGTTTATAGATATTCTTAATCCAGTTTAAGCACTTGGGTGTGGTGTAATTGGTATCAAGTCAATGTTTATGTACCGGTATTGGAAATGGGAAATTGTACTGCTAGGAAAAGAGTAATGTTTGTCGTCACCAATTATGCAAAGGTGTTTTTAACTTTTGAGTTGCGGTAACTTTTGTAAATTAATTGTCACATATTTTGATAAAAAACACACACAATTCTTGAAATGGGTAACAATGTGCCAAACAATTTTAGTAAAGAAGGTATAACAGTTGAGTTATGAGCGTTGAATATGAGGAAGTTTAAGTGGTAGCCCTAACCCACATGATAACAAATGTTGTCCATGAGAGCTGTGTGTTTAAAGAATGTGGTTTATGTTTGCTTGTTCAAACAATCTACCTATATAGTGATAGAGAATTCAGTTCTCTCTACATGACATCAGAACTCAATATCTTCAATATGAAAATAATATGGTATTGAACTAATATATTGCTCATGTATATTTGTTTTTGTAATAGATTTGTATAGCTGTCTCTACAAAACTTCTGTTTATCTCTCTCTCTCTCTCTCTACACTCTTTACCAGTTATACTCTATACTTTTCTGTATTAGTGTTAGTTACCTACAGGCTTGTTATGTTATTTTTGACAATTGTCACTTTAGCTTCTCTATACATGTAATATGGTTGAAATGATAAGAACATATATTTTGCTCTATTGAAACGTTAAATGTTCTTTTTTCAGGCCAAGTTTTGGCAGTAAAGTTCAGAATTTTCCAAATGCTGAAACTGTGTGCAATGACCAAAGAGGTATATCTCCTCTAATTATGTAACAATGTTACTCTCTGTATTACAGCTCAGCAGATTATTTTGTTGTACGCCATGACATTGTTTAATTCTTATACCACATACATTTTTGTTTCTACAGTTCAGGAAGCAGGATTTAGCGCTAGATTTAGAAACAGGAGCAAGATACGGTTAGCATGTTGTAGAAATATTCATGTCTTACAGTCTATTAAAGACAACTTTTTTTTAAAGTGTATATTGTATCACCTTACTTGTATTAAGTATAAAGCAACTCATATCACAAGGATTTATTTTTGTTAAGAAATGGGAATGACTCTTGAAAAAGATTCTACTTAAGTAGATTCCAGAGAAGTGTGAAAAGTTTATGGCCATGTATTTTTCAATTTCATTCTTGTACTACTTTCTTGTAGAAAGCTAATAGAGCACCTCCACAGTTTCAAAACATCTACAAAAGACTCAAGGAATTCTCCTTACTATTATGTAAAAAATGTAGAAAATTTATACTTTCTTGTTTATCCTAAAAAAGATTATGGCCCTCATTGTACTAAAATTTAAAGCTGATGCAGGGCTCATGTTTTTGTCCAAAATCAGGTTCAACAAAGGAAGTGAGTCTTAGTCTGAGTTCTTAGTTTTCTTTTTGTTAAACATGACCTTAGATCTCTGGACTGGTTTAACTAAATTAGTGAAATACAGGTAAAGGATTCTTTTTTTTCTGTCCCTTTTTATTTTGGTAATGTCCAACAACAACAAAATAATCCTAGCCAATTAGAGGGGGGGGGGGGGGGGGGGGGGGGGAAGCAAATTTTTAGATGACTTTATCACTATTCGAGTGTAAGAAGGGTAGATTATGTAGAAATCCGTGACTGATGCCTGTATTGTATGATAAAGCACTGTGTAAATACATGTAATGTGAAAGAACACAATAAAATGCAGAGACTATGAAAATGGGTTTCTTGTCTCATATTTGAGAGAAGTACGAGTCAGATGGATAGAGTAAGCATGGCAAGATAACACATTGGCTTTATGTCCTTTATGTGAAATCATTGTACTACTAGTATGTGATATTTATTTGTACAAAGAAAAGACAACCATTCACTGAATTTTAACATATTTCAGTTCATGTAGTAAAAGAGAAGGTACATATCTTGGATTTGTTCAAAATTTCATATTCAGATGGACATATCTCAGACAATACTCGACATATTCAATTGGTCACAGCTTCGGTACTCTACTTTACCACATGGACTAAACTTTACCATCAAAATGAAAGAAATAATTGGATTTCCATATTCTGGCACATTCTTTATCAGGTTTTTTTTATTACAAAAATGGAGAAAACTCAAGTAGAATATAATTCTTGATATGATTAAAAATTGCCCTCCAGTGCAAATGAACTCCAATACAAAATAACAGCCAGTATGAGTAACATATGGAACTCTGATGCACACAAGGAATTGTTGACTCTTGTCAACCACGCCAACTGATTGTTTAATTCAATAGAAGTCAGGCCACAGTTAGCAATGAGTAACCACAGAGATGTTGCAAAAATGTTCTGTATGCTTTCATTTATGAGTAGACTGTTGGGGCCAGTTGTCCACTGAAAGTTTATTTTCATCCAAATAAGTCCCTTATCACACACTGCTTCAAGAGATAAATCCTGTACCGGTTTTGTGCAACTAATGGTATTAATGTCCTTCAATTGCAAAATAACACCTTGTGTGAATTAACATAATGCCTCGTGTGCACCAGACCTAAGCAATACATGTACATGCATCTCGGATTACACCAGCTTTATATCCGTACAGTCTTCAAGACTTCATGAATCAAATTTGGTGAAATTAAGTATGTGATGATGCAAGTTATTATTCACTTTATATTATAATTCACGTAATATCATGGTTTATAGCGTTATAGGAAACAAAGGCCTATACTTTTATGCTGGTATTATAATGAGAATATATATGTTTTGCTGTATCGTAGGATACTCTTTCAAGCTGACCAGATACACATGTATACGTGCATCATCCTTTTACCCTTAATTCACACTCGCCAAATCTAAGTAATACACTTCATACTCAAACATGCCCTTTTTTTGCAGGGAACAAATAAAAGATCAACAAAGATAAGAAAACCCAACACAGATACATGTAGAACATATTAAAATGTGACAAAAGTAAATATTCTTTCTGACATGTTCATAGATTTAAAGGCAGCTTCACGTTGATCTAATTTGATTTACTGTCCAACTCTTCATAAGTACCTGCTAGGCTCAACACTTTGTAACATGGTTTCCTTCAATAGACTGGTTAACTAACGTACTGTATTCAAATTTTATGCATACTTTTTAAACGAAGGTTTTTCTTGAAAATTGTCAAAGGCTTGCCCAACATAGCAACAAGTTATATATGCAGAATGGATTCCAAGTATTGTAGGTTAATGAATAACTTGTCACTAGGTCCCCAGGAAAGAAGCATCCATAAATTTGAATGTTAGTAAACCGGTTTGTTGACTAAACAACTCTTTGGTAACAATAAATACAAATCGTTAATTGATGTGTACAGGTAAGGAAAATTTGGATATTGTAATTTGCCAAAACCTATTGAACTATGCATTCCCATTCTTTGTCTATTAGATTGTGATATACAATTTGTTAATGTTATCTATGAATAGTAAGAACTCCATGGCATTTAAACAGGTAATAATATAGTGTACTATTTAACTTTATTCAACTTTCGTTAATGGCAAACCAAACCAATTAAAAGTTTACCTACAAGGAAAATCTTCCGAAAAATGTGGCTTGAAACATTTATGCACATATTAAATCCTGCATTTTAGAATAGACATATGCACCAAGCGTGAATGACGACTCTGGTAAATAATTGAAATGTAAACTCAAGCCATGGCAAGCTGCTTTGGGTAACAAGTACAAATGTTGGGATTCATAGATCTTCACAAGACAGTACATGGAATCAAATCAACAAGGTGAAACATACAAGTACTACAATAGACCAGTCCACGGTTAGCACATGTCCCAAATGACCTCAAATATCCACAGATCTTCAAAACATGAAGAGGTCCCACTTTGTACATTTTGAAATAATCGCTCCTACAGCGATGGAGGTGCTACATAACTAGCCTTTGTTTCCCCTTTTCAAAGAAATGTTCCACCTGTGTATCATGGAGTGTACTGAATGTGAATGAATGATGATTACATAACTTTCATGAGCACGTATCCAGTATTTCATCTCCGTGTATTTCACAATGTGGTCTGCAATGACCTTTATCTGCTCTTGCTGCTCAGACTGCAGCTATGAACTAGCTTGTTCAACCCATTGACTATTGAATTCTTTCATCCCCATAGGCTCAATACACGATCCATCTGGTTCTTGTACGCAGTGGTCTAAAGGTCATCTATAGTCTGTGAAATAGCATTCACTCTCATACAAGAGGTCATTACCAAATGCCCCATTTCTTTTTTCTTTTCATTTTATGACAGCATAAAACGAAGTTTGTGTTGCATGCTTTATTGTCTTTTAACTTTTTACATGCAGAACTACATATATCAGAATTCTGTCAGTAATCATACATGCACACAAGTTACATACTTTGTATTATAGTAAAAGAATCTGGACAGACAGATTACAGAGTTACATACACACCAATAGCTTCCCTATTATTATCGTGTTATTACATGTATACACCATTATAAATGTCTACCATGCATGAATCATTGATCTTAAAGCTCCAGTCCTAAAAGTTAAATATTCAAAGCTAGAAACAACATTAAATATTTGAGGGATGAAAATTAAGGGATCAGATGGGGTTTGGTGGAAATCTAAGAATTAAATATCATCCGACTTTCAAATTGATTGACAATGGTAAAGCTATTACAAAAAAATTGGACACTTATCTTACTTGGAAGGAGAGTGAACCCCTGAAACCCCCCCCCCCCCCCCATGACACTCCTAGCCCTTACTAAACATGAAGATTTAATTAGGATAGACCATGAATACCAATATAAGCCTGAAAAAGCAGCTGAGACCTGGTATGGTATGGATGGATGTTTAAATGTGGATATGCATCGTCCTCACAAACAACTCTCCGTTAATTCTTTAAGAGAAAGGAGATTTTTAGTACACACATTTATAATCAATATCATCAAACTGATGAAAATGATCGTTAAATGATAATAAACGCCTAAAAAAAATACATATAAATGTACACAATTATACATAGCAAACTGTGACAGAGGCATGTTTATGCTACGTGGTGGATGACTAGCCTAAAGATGTCGTTCATAATCACGAGGGACCCATTTCTGTCAGCTAATGAAAAAGTCTGGAAGAAGCTATGTGGTGGATCATCATCCGTCTACAGCAGAAGAAAACAAGAAGATAACATGGTTTATATCTTATGAATTTCAATAGTAGTATCACGGAAAAACGATTTCAATTCTAAACAGGGAGTGACTTTGAAAAAGGCATCTGTATTGAAGTATTCACTTTTTTTCATTCCACATTCCGGTAAAAACCTTTCTGTGATGTACATGTATTTCAGAGACTTGAAAGAAAAATACAGCTTTCATTTGTAAAGAGACTTCACAAAATCATTCAATTTAACATGTACTCATTCTTTCATTAGTTGAATTTCTGATTACTTCAATCCGTTCATCTCTCCAATTTATATTTCACTTTGTTATGTTTGCTTACAAATAATACATGGTACATGTTTGAATTTAAGATGCTATTGACAAATTAAAGTTGATACTCTAAGCAAATAAATGTCCCTTAATTTGTTACCTACGGCAAGTATATGTTATTTTTAAGTTTTTCAATTACTTAGTATATCACAAAAAAATTCTGTCTACTCGAAATCCTCAATTGAAATGTCTAAAATATCCGCCTCTCTTTGCATAGAAAATCAGTCACGACGCTGGTCTACTATTTATGACCTCACGTCCGGGAGAGAGTATATTCACGTACCCGGATGTTCCATAGCAAACATGTGCAGAGTGATACGATTTTCTGCATATTTTTGTTTCAAAGGCTGAAAAGTCTAATAAATCATAATTCTATGTACAATTCTTTACCTTCCCCTAGTACTTCATAGTATTAATATCAATTCCCCTTTTAAAAATTATGACATATACATGCCAACGATGTGCTATTAATTGATATTTTCACCATGTAATTTTTGTTTTGGTGTTGAAATCGGCCCAGGCACGGAGTGAACAGTAGCTGTCTAGTGTCTACCCATGCACAGTTCATTACCATACACTACAGCGATCTCCCGATGGTTTCTTCTTCCTTTTTCCCATGTCTTTCGCCTTCCTTGGCCCTGAACATCCTTCATCTACCAATTCTGACACCGGTAGTCAGGAGCAGGTCTTTGTTAGTTGTTTTTCTTAGCTGGCAACGTCGCTTTCATTCTCTTGCAATTGCCGATAAACATATAACTAGCGCACGTACGTTCCATCACAAGCAAGCAGCGCCTAGAGCAGCGGCTTGGTCTTACCTCCCGATTCTGCTCGCTCCACGAACGTTCATGCAAGAGCCGCATCACTCGCCAAAATATTATAGAGGAAGCGCGCTTGCATGATCTCGTTCAAGTTTGATATTTTACAACATAAAATGTTTAACTGGTACTGTATCCTTTTTTGAGGCAGTCACACACATCTATGATAAGTACTATCATAGTTCTAGACCTATTCGTTTTACAAAACTGCTCATGTTCATCCGATGACAATATAATGCATCCGCCTATTCATAAGTGCACGATTTAACTTTAATTCCTAAGCAGTAAACTCGTCTTAAATCTCTACCAAATAGGTGAATATGAGGATATAAAAAGAAATCAGCGACTGGAAAATGTTGCTTCGTTATTCTTCATTCAAATGAAAACAGAAAATCCATCAAATATACTCCTTAACAACAACAAATCTAAGCTCTGACAGGATAGCATTTACGTAGTGATATCACTGCCATTCACTCTCACTGAGCCCATGACTCCCGTTCGTGACGTCACGGATAGAGGCCCGACTCTACGTGCACTTCCGGGTTTCAGACTTAGATATTTTGGCAGAGTTTACTCGAATCAATTCATTATTCTAAACTTGTTTTGTCGGGTGGACACCATTTGGTGTTATTATGGGGGTTAAAAGCTTTCTATTTATGTAATTATCTCAGTATTTGGGATTGTCTTAGAGTATCAACTTTAAAATATGGAAGCGATTCTTACCTTTAGCTGTCCAAGTACAGCGATAAGAAGCTTGTTGTCGATTGTAATTTGGCAATCTACTGTTGTTATATGATGAGCCACTGTTTTGAACGGCAAAGACTGCAAAAGATAAAGGTTATAAAAAGAGAAAGTCTTTAAAGTTTTATATTTATGGAATAACTTATTACAAGAACCTCTCTGTTTAACACTAAAAAGGCTTATAATGGGTTATTTTGGTGTGTTCCCTTGGAATCTTGGTCTTGAAATGACACAAATTCTGAAACGTAGTTTACAGGTAGAGTATCTAAAAAAGAAAATGCACATGAAGTTTCAAATCTATATCTCAAATGGTTTCTGAACAGGGGCAAAGTGACAATTCTGCATTGTGTGCATTACATATGGGGAATTGCTCACTCTAGCCGTGTACAGCGCTGCAATTTTTGACGCTGTGCAGTACCCTTTGATCAAAAGTATATAAATTTGGCATCAAAATCTGCGTAGGACTAGTATAGGTGATACAAAAAAAATTCCTTTTAACGTATCACATCGCCGTCTTTTAAGGGATAAGGAAATGAGTTTATAGGTTAGTTGGTACAGCCTGTTAAACCAGATATCAATGGGTTTGAAATGAGTCCGTTTGAATGACTGCACACTGCATTAATTGTGTGTCAATGTCCCCTCTTGTGTGGAACCATAGACACACTCGGCAGACAAAACACTCCATCCCTGAATAGGACATTCAATGGATCCCCACTCCCCAGTGTGTAGGATAATGCTGAATACTAACATGACCATGTAAATAAGAAGTAGAATAAAACATAACCTTGATCAGAGTAAAACAACCAAACATACAGGGTATGCACCATTCATCCTAGAAGTTCAAATCAGTTCATTTCAAAACAATCGTGCATTAATATGTGTGATTCTGGGTCGGCACTAAAAAAAAAGTCACCGATTTACGTTATGTAATCTTTTCAAAATTGTTCAGACTTCATGTATTATGCTGTCATAGCCTTCCATAAACCATACTACATGCACTGTCAATGGACGTGTATCTAGAATCTAGATGTACATGTAAATTAATAAAATGAATCTAACATCAATTAGCGAATGATTCTTTCTTCTTTGCTGATCTATGCTTGTAAGTTGATAGTACTAAAATAGTACATGATATTTTAAATCAGGAGTTATGAAGCCATTTTTAGAAAGATTCCTGATAGTGAAGATTCCTACTTACCACAAGTTTTGTACAAATTGCTTCTGGCCCTTGAAATTCTTGTCCTTCAAATGACAGCTTGCTCTCATTTGTCTGTAATAGAATCAAGTAAAACACAATATGTCAAAACATGAAGAGAGAGAGGGGGGGGGGGGGGGGGGGGAGTCGTCATGAAATGTTATCATCATGAAAATGTATTTCCATCCATACGTTACATTTCCATAAATTAAAGATTACTCAACTTTCATCACAGCTTGTTGCACATGCCAGGTTTGTCAAATTTAGCTGAAAAAGCAAAATATGAAGTGACAAAATAAAATCAATTGTTTGCATTGACATGTACATGATGACATAACTTGAACCTGACGGCTTGAAGTCAGTGTGGAGTTGCTTTGGCGGTGTGATTGAGGTATGTTAAGAAAAATTGAATGAATTTTGCAGGCTATTGTAAGGTAGATCTATATACCATTAACTTTGCCTACAAAAACTAACAATTGAAATTTTCTTTCCCAACTTCATGACAATACATTTTCTGTATATCAGAATCTTGTGGGGCCTTAGAAGGATATATATATATATATAGATATATTGTTACAGCACTATTCTCTGCAAGCAATGTATTCCATACAATATCAATCTTTTATCCATTCAGTTTACCCGGTAGATCTATTTATCCAAAATGAAGAACGAACCCATTTATGATTATTTACTTATGCATGAGACGTACCGATCCGACCGACCTTTCACATCAACATCCTAGTAAAAACATAACAGAATGGTAATAAGAAAAGAAAACATAAGTGTAAGTTTTAACCCGATTGTTTGAAACTTTGAACTAGCTAGTTGACACTCCAGCAAAGCATAGATAGAGAGTCAATGGTAATGCGTATTGACCTCTAGCGTTGCACTATGTGCTAAGAGGCAGCAATTGCTCACATGAATAGCCAATATACACAATACACACAAATATACACAATGAATACGATGTGGCTGATCGGCAAGTTAGAGACAGTAGACTCACGATTTGAATTTTTAAATTATTCTTTCTAACATCGGCAAGTTATAAAAAAATACGTTTTACTGCTAACAAGGTGTCATCAATTGTCACTAAAGTACCGATTTCGAGTGAAATCAGTTAAGTTTTGTACAGTGGTGGTTGAAATGTTGAGAACCAATAAATAAGAGCTTTTAATACACAGCCAGGATAGTAATGCAGCTATGTGTGGTAATACTATACCGGTACTTACGTACAAACCTCCTAACTGCGTTCTGTCAGTATCAAAAAGGTTGTAGTAATGTTTTACGAAGTGGCTTGCGACCTCCATGATAGAAAGTAGAAACTCAATACAAGTTCAATAATAATGTTTAAATATACTCTTTCACCAACGTCAGTTTCTCGATCAACAGCTTATAATTTCAAAAAGATTTTCGCATATTCGTACTAAGCACTTGGTACGTAGAATATCAATCGTACGCGCATGCGATCGCAAGGCCAAGGTACCTGTAGTTTTACCTGAAGATGGCGCTGTGCAAGCAACTGGCCCTAAACTGGCCTAGAGTACCTATATATAGATACTCTAAACTGGCCTAGAGTACCTCTAAACTGGCCGGGTATGATAACCAAGGGGATAACCAAAACCAAAAAAAGTCGAGACAGAACTAACTTTACCTCATCTTTATACTGAGAACTCGTTCTTTTAGTAAACAAGGTGAAACAAAGGGGAGGGGGTGCGGGTCATTGGAATATTATTAGTTAGGCCTACTGTTAACCTATGGCAGACGGCTTTGCTAAAAGCTTGCAGATTCCCTGGGATTTAGGGTGTTTTTTTTTTTTATTGGAAATGAATGTATAAAAAATGTTTTCTCTACATCCTAATTGCTTGTAGGCCCGCGGCAGTTGGCCTTCCTTTGTATTTATGGCGATCTTTTGGATAATTTGATCATTCATCAACCATTACCTGAAATTCAATTTTTGTTGCATTTTACACAGTTTTAAGGAAAGGCAAGGAAAATTATAAACATTTTTGAAATCCTTGTTTTTCACGTGAAGCTGGCCAAAATAAGGCATTTTTTTAAAAATACTTTTTTAGAGCACTCATTGATCTTTTCCACGTCCTTAAATTGTATGTAGGCTAAGCCAAATTTACATAATTTCAAGGATATGCTAGGCAACGGTGTCGATTTGTATCCGTGGTTGGGGGGGGGGGATGATAGGTGCCTAACTATTTTCGGCAATGGATCAAAGCAAGCAAGAGGAAAAAGCAGGCGCGAAATCCAGGATTTATTAGGGGGGGTCCAAATTTGAAATTATGCGAGCCAAATATTGGTACGTAATGGTGACACCGACAGTGGCAAAAACGTTTTTTTTTTTTTTTTTTTTTTTTTTTTGGGGGGGGGGGTGACGTTAGACAACAAAATATTCCCATCACCCCACTCTTACATGCAGGCTCCGCTGAATTTTTCTCGGTGGGGGTCCAGGGGGCGGATTCCCCGGAAGCTCAGGGGTTTTGGGCAATAAATTACGGTCAGATGAGCATATTTTGATACCTTATTTGTGACACTAGCAAGACACAAATTGGTGTTGGGTCAAGGGTGCGGAGCCCCCAGAATCTCAGAGGTTTTACACATTACATTATCGTCAGAAGAGCATATTTTCATATCTTATTTGTGACACTGGCAGGTCACGAATAGGCGTGCGGTCCAGGGGCGGAACCCCCGGAAGCTCAGGAGTTTTGGGCAATAAATTACGGTCAGATGAGCATATTTTGATACCTTATTTGTGACACTGGCCGGACACTTGGCGTAAGGTCCTGGGGGCCGAGACCACAGAAGCTCAGGTGTTTTAAGCATAAAATTACCGTCAGATGAGCATCCAACCGTCCGCCTTAAGGCCCTAGGTGGGGTCCAGGGGGCAGAGCCCCCGGAAGCTCAGGGGTTTTAAAGCATTTAATCACGGTTAGATGATCAACAAAAATTTGGGCCCCGGAAATTGGAAAATTACGTCGTCAGATATTTCGTTCAGGGGCTTGGGGGGAACACTTTTTGTTGCTTTCTTTTCAAGAGGCACTAGATCCATGTGTGTAATTTTAAGGGAACTCTTTGTTTACCCGATTTTGTTCTAGTGTCTACGAAAAATTGTTATTAAAAGATGCATGTGTTCATAATTTCTCTCGCAATTTAGGTTAATAATTTTGTTCAAAGTAAATAGAGGAAAAATGTATATCATTATCTTCATTTGCTATCTAAAGATTTTGCTCCTTTCGGAAAATAGCTCTTCAAATGTTTACATGTAGAGATATAAATAAACAAAGAAATGGATGAAAATCAATAAAACAAAATCAGAATCAGGGAACGAACTGAAAGTTTCGTCTCCTACATGCTGCCATAAGGACAAAACCGTCTCTCTCTTCAATGATACAATATTTTATTACTTTACTTGCATTATGAAAAAACGCATCATCAAACCCACATAGTCATAGCTTTAAAAATCACTTCAGATTGAACTGGCCAAAAGTCATGTGATATTCTTGTTTCATGTATGTATTATGAAAATGAGATAGAAAAATGTATATTGATGGTCATCTTGCGAGTAATAACCATTAACTACTCTCATCGGGCTCTCATTAATTTTTATCTTCATTTTCTTTTTTTTTAATAGTGAATTATTGGGGGGATGATTGTACAGGCCACCCCCCCCCATCTGAAATATTGGGGGGATATATCCCCCCATCCCCCCCCCCCCCCCCCCACCCGGGATCGACAACCATGATGCTAGGGATGATAACTTATAATCCCTGTTTATTTTGGTCATAAATTACGGCGCGTGGGGGCGCGTACGCGCGAGCTTTCGATTTTAGGCACCCGAGGTCATCGAGCTTCTGAGCCCACGTTCCGATCCCTTCCAAATCACGCGACGGGAGTCGGGTGCAATTTCCGTGAGACCCCGTCGCCGTGAAAACGTCAACGTGAGTGTAGTTTCACCACCTTCTTTAATGTTATTCTTTGTTTTTTTTATACTATTATTTCCTCTTGCTATCTTTTGTTTCTTTTTCTATCACCTTTTCTTATGTTATTCTTTGTTTAATCATTCTATCACTTTCTCTTTCTGTCTTTCCCTATGCTATTTCTTGTTCCTTCCTTCTATTCTCTTATTTTATTCTTTGTTTTTATCGTTCTATATCACTTCCTCTGTCTAACTTTCCTTATTTTATTCTTTCTTTCTTCCTTCTATCACCTTATGTTATTCTTTGTTTAATCATTCTATCACTTTCTCTTATGTTATTCTTTGTTTTTATCATTCCGCTTTCTGTCTTTCCTTATGCTATTCTTTGTTTCTTCCTTATATCACCTTCTCTTATGTTATTCTTTGTTTTTATCATTCCGCTTTCTGTCTTTCCTTATGTTAGTCTTTGTTTCTTCCTTCTATCACCTTCTCTAGTGTTATTCTTCGTTTTACCATTCTATCACTTTCTGTCTTTCCTTATGCTATTCTTTGTTTCTTCCTTATATCACCTTCTCTTATGTTATTATTTGTTTTTATCATTCTATCACTTCCGCTTTCTGTCTTTCCTTATGCTATTCTTTGTTTCTTCCTTATATCACCTTCTCTTATGTTATTATTTGTTTTTATCATTCTATCACTTCCGCTTTCTGTCTTTCCTTATGTTATTCTTTGTTTCTTCCTTCTATCACCTTCTCTTATCATATGAGATGTGGATGATCTTGACGGTAGACGATGGTGATGGTTATGATGGTGATATTAGGGACTTGTAGATTTGCACGAAGACGACGTGGATTGCTACGATCGACGTCCTTTTAATGCACTGCCTTGAATGGACGTCACACGTATCAGTCCACGTAAATCTAAAAGTCCCTAATGACGACTATGATGATGATACTTATCATTATTATGATGATGGTTATTACGATAGTAATGATAGTGATTATGATGATAATGATGGTGGTGATTACGATGTTGATTATGATAATGATCTTGATGATGACAAAAATTATGATGATAATAATGATGTTGACGAACATAATTATGAGGAGGGCTATTAATAATTATTATTATTATTATTATCTATCTTAAATTTTATATCTTGTATTGAATACTTTGATGACGAAATTACCCGATAAAAGTGTTATTTGTTCCTCACATGCTTTGCTCGGTCGCAAATGTTTCGAAATAATTATGTTGCTTTCAGGGACCGAAATGCCCGAATATCGTCATACTCGTGCAGTGAGGGGAAGAACAACCTTATATATATTCGGCAGCAAGATGCCGTAATTTTCCATTCTTATATCTATAATGAATTTCACTCTAATTTCATTCCATTAAAAATTAAAATTAAAAAAATCACGACGAGGCGTTTCTCCGATCAACATGCAATATAAGGAAAGGCTGACATAATGTTGGCAAAAACGTTGTCACAATGCAATGCCTCTCCCCTCCCCTCCCATAGAGAAGCGCTAACCCTAACCCATCCACAGCCAAGATATCCTTGATAAAAGAATGTTTCTTTTCGTTTTCTTTCCAACGTTCTACCATTCTTTGTAAGTTTGTGTTTTATGAGTAAGTTTTCTTCCATTTTCTCTTTTCGCTTAACCCATGCCCTGCTGAACAAGGTGGTTTTTTGTATTGAGTCCAGGATAATAACAAAAACTAGTTAAGTGGCGATGAGTCTGTCGAATAATAAAACATGGAAAGTGTAACTCACTTCCCCTTTGTCGCCATACGAATATAGAGCCTATAGGGATATATTCTATGCTATTGAGATCAATCAAAAATTCTGTCATTCAAAAAGCGATAACGCAGGGAACATTCACCTATTTGTGTAGCACCATTATCTAGCAACCATTAGCAACTTGAAAAAAGAAATCAATTACAGAAAAAGGCTGCAAAAGGGGCTCTGTTGAAGATGCATTTCATGAAATCTTGTGGACCTAAATACAAAAGTCATCCAAAGCATTTTCTTCGAAATGTTCCGGCCTCTTTGAAGCAATCTTCCACGATCCTATTGAATATCGATTGCTTCATCTTTTGGTAGAGAATAGTTCCTTAGTGTTTCACTTACCTTTCAATTTGGCTTCATATAAATGAATATGTATAACAAAGCGCACGCTGTGCATTTAGTCTTTGGTCAAGTTGCTTCCGTTGCCGGGGTAAGTCCATCGATATAATAGTCATTATAATGTCAATTTGCCTGACAAACATTCGTAGCCAGCGGAGGCTTTTCGTTCACAGGGGTTGATGAGATATGTTCGTCTATTTCTTTCATTGCTTATCGTCTTGCTATTCAGATTGTGCTGTATAGGATTCGTTCGTTTGTGAAGTGAATTCAATCAATATATACTTTCGTGAAATTACAGTGAGTCTTGAAAACGTTATTTTCTCGATGCATGCCTACGTCCCTGTTCAGGACAATATATAGTGCTTGTTCGGTAAAAATCTGGTCAGCGCTACCTAGTACGAGAGTTC